GCCACAGACACACATTTTGATTTGGCTTATTGAAAAAATCCCACCATGCCAAACTGATCAGATATCAGCAGAAATTCCTGATGTCGCCATAGATCCAGTCTTATTTCAGATCATTGTCCAAAATATGTTTCATGCTCCGTGTGCATCACCATACATGTCTGTTTGAAAATGCACTAATGATATCCTAGAGAATTAACTGCTGAGACTATCACTGGTATTTTTCACCATTAAATAAAATTTGCATTTCAAATCATAATCGCAAATGTCATTTACGCACCTAAATACAAAATTCAAATTCAAATTGAAAGCGTTGCAACGCACGCAGGGTACAGCTAGTATGGTATAAAAAAATTCATACCTTATAATTCAAAATTTTTTCATCCTCTCTTTAATTAAATAATAAAAAATAATTAATAATCATTAAAAATTATTTTTTTTCATGAAATTGTCTTTGGGTAAATGATTTTTATGACTGGGTGAAATTTTCTTTGAATTGCTTTATTAGTTTTAAAAATATGACTAAAAATGTAAAAAGTGTAATTAAGATAAAGGGGTACGAACTTTAGATCGTTCTCCTGACCAAACTATGGGGACCATATTTCCCAGATTGCGGCTACCCCCTATACTTTGAAGGTTTAAAAATCCAAATATGTAAAAAAAAATATATGTTTATTCAGAGAAAGTACGTTTTTGTGTCTGATTTCGTAGCTTAATTAATAGTTAGCACTAATTAATTTGCATATTTGAGGTAACCCCCAGGAACCATTAAGGGGACAAGGGAGGTTCAAATCAAATTTTTTTAATTTTTTCACAAATGTTTCGAAATTTTGTGAGTTAATAGATATATACAACACGAGATGCTGTATAAAATTTGGTTCAAATATTTTAAAAATTTTAAAATTTATAAAAAATTTAAAATTTTAAAAAAGCGTTCACAAAAAAAGTTCCAGTCGTATCAATTTTTCAAATATTGTGCTAATATTATTTTCAAGAGTTCTTTTTAGATACTGTAACAAAACTTACTCTTCACCATTATTATTATTCAAAGACTTTTTTTAAAAAAAATTTAAAAAGTGAAAAAGTGCAAAAAAATGTGAAAATTATGTGACAACGCTGAAGAATTTTTGAGGTAATTATGCCAATATCCCCAGCATATCTTGATTTGACAGCAAGAAATATTCCTGTACATATAAACAATATGTAAAAAAAATTTCAAGTAAATTGAACAAAAATTAAGCCGCCTGGAACTTTTTGAAGTTAGTAAAATGACGAAAAACAACAATCAGAGAAAACAGCAATTTTAGGAAACTTTTCCCAATATTAATTTTTTTGCTATAGAATTGTGTGTATTTTCACTCATATTATAAAATAATAACAAATGATTAATTGTGGGTAAAAAATAATGCAAAAAATACATACATAAATTTAAATAAAATGTTATTATAGACAATGCAAATATTTAAAAAATATCAAATTTACTGACATATTTCTATTTCATAACTACATTTCTTTTATTATATACATTGCTCACATAACTATATGCTATTCTGCTTTTTTTAAGTTAAAAAAAACTTAAAATTTAAAAACATAAATTAAAATTTAACTCAAGCATTACAAGAATTTACAANAAATACATACATAAATTTAAATAAAATGTTATTATAGACAATGTAAATATTTAAAAAATATCAAATTTACTGACATATTTCTATGTCATAAATACATTTCTCTTATTATATACATTGCTCACATAACTATATGCTATTTAGCTATTCTGCTTTTTTTAAATTAAAAAAAACTTAAAATTTAAAAACATAAATTTAAATTTAACTCAAGCATTACAAGAATTTACAAAACAATTAAAATTTCCCGGCTCCATACGTTTCACCTTCTCGTTTTAAAATTTTAGCATTTTTTGACGCACATTTTAGTTTTTTCAAATTTCTTTTTAGTTTATAATCAGCACTCTTTCTTTTGCTGAGTTGACTTTTTCGTCGCCTATCTCTCTTTTCTGCGAGTCCCATAGAAAACTCATTCGCATCAATTGTCGTTGAAAGTTGTTCAAACGAGCTGACACAGCCAATATTAAATTCTCGTACAGCCGAAATAACAGCTAATTCAAGTCTTTTTTTCGAAACGAAAATTTCTTTTTGACATTTGTTCCAAACAACACTATGCAAACACTCATTTGCATTCTGTGTCTTAGCTGACACACATTTTGCTAAAATGTCATCAGATGCCAGTCGTTGGTATACCGGCATAATCTTCTCCACAACTGTTTCTGATAGAACAGTTTTCATCGCAGTGTGGCTACCTGGTTTCTCACTTTTTGCTATTGCTCTTTGAAAGAAGCACCATGACGTTTCACCAGCAGGGCATTTGTTATGCATGGGTTTCTCATTGGTTGACATGCAATGAAAAAGCGATGCGAAAATAGCAGATTTCATTTTGGATATGTCAGGGGCATTATCTTTTATCGCGCATCTATAGTAATTTTGAAGCCGCCTAATTGTCTCATCTTTCAGCGCACCTTTCTTTCTCCCGCCAAGAGTCACCCCTTTGCTCTTCCACTCCTGCACCTTATTGCGTAAACCAGTCCCCAAGCGTTTTGCAATGTGATTAATACATTCTTCTTTGTTTATGATGGTATCACCATAAACTTTTCTTTCATTTAGATGTTGAAAAGCCTTAGCATCCCCATCACAAAGCATAGTTGCATAACGCATTTTGTGCTCAAGTGATCTTGACCACAATATATACGCTGCTGTCATCTCCATACTATTAGATGAACCACTGAAATTCTTTTGGCATTCTGGTTCATGAGCCGAATACCATACATGGAATTCCGGACTGTTAGCTCCCAAATTATTTTTAGTAACTGTACAGTCATGGCAGTACTTACTCAGTACTTCATAATCAACCACCAGTCCGGTTTCAATGTGAATGACGAAGCCTATACCATACAGCGACGAATGGCCACGCTTTTGCCAGGTGCCATCATACGATACGCAGATGTCAAGAATATCTTGTGTATCAGTAGCATCCACATAATAATGTTGCCTGATTATGTCATGAGAAGCTTTCAATATTTCAAATTTAGCCTCTTTGTTACACAACACTAAATTATCCAAACATTTAGAAAATGTTTTACTGTCCATGCAATGGATACCTAGCATCATGGAAAATATTTCTAGTGAAGCATATCCCTTGCCAATAGACAAAAAAGATTGTACCACTTTGTTGTTGATACTGAAACTTCTGCTGGTTGATTCTCGAGCACTGGAAAATGATGGTCCATATTTAAAATGACATGTTTTGCAAAATAGCTCGATTTGTGAAGACAAACCATAGGCTTTGTGTGTAAAAACATCCAGAGTTTTATTCTCACACTGTCTGCATGGCATTTCTGATAAGAGAGAACACCACATAGAATTATCCATAACTGTATATGCAGGTTGATTAGAAACAATCAAACCACAGTTACTGGCAATTTCCGGTAAAATTTCAGAAGAAGTACCAACTTCTGAAGAATTATTTAATGATTTTTTATAGTTTGCTAGTCCAGCAGCACGTTTCTTCGATGGTCGGCCTTTCGGCTTTCTCCACCTTGAACTGATGGCGTGCATAATAACAATGCAAAAACACGATGAAATAACTTAGCAAAGATGCAAATATAAACAAAAAATTAACGTATAACTAACAACAAATCAATTAAAAGGGAAAAAATTCAACAAAAATCAATAAACAACGTAATAAATTCAGAAAGAAGAGAACGAAATATACCGCAAGCTAAAGACAATTTGTAAACAAACTCTCAAACCTTAGCACAGTTACAGTTAGAATTGTGCTATTAAAATTATAATGAAAAATAGTTGGTAGCCGAGAGAATAATATGTAAAAATTCTAGCCAACCAAAAACAAAACCATCAGCCGTGAGATCTTGGAAAACGAAACTAGCATCTTGACAGGTTAGAAAATGTAAACAAAGGGGCGTGGTCAAATACAAAAAGATGCATAACTTCGTCAATTTTTTAACAATCTTCAAAATTTTTTTTGCAAATTGTTCAGAAACACATCTGACATTTAAACATATGAATTTTGAAAAATCGAAATTTCTGTTGAATTTCACGAATTTGAAGGTCCCTTGTCCCCTTAAGATTGACACTTAGTTCGTGAAAATCCGATCATTAGAACGAAAGTTATTCAGTTATTCAGCTTTTTTTTTTGCGGACTGTACGGTTTGATCATTTTGTTTTGGGTGGTTTTGCTTTTTCAATGATTTTCATTAGTACTTCAAATTTTTATTAACAGAAGGCACAATTATATTACTGTAAATGGCACAATTATATTACAATACTAACCACTGCATCCCTATCCATTAAAACTGGCGATATTTAAACACATGTTGGTTAACTGAAAATGAAGATTAGTTTGAAAACTTGGTTTCAATCACAACTTTCTCTATTCAATAAGGACATATTTTTACGATCTTTGTTACTAGTTTTTAAATTTGGAGAATATAAATTCTTTAGTTTAAGAGATCAGCAAAGCGTATATTTTTATCTCCTTTTGCAATTCTTTAATTGAGTTTTAAATCACCGATCTTGAAGCCCATTAGATTTCAATTTACATATCGTTTTGTATCAATTTTCAATTAATAAATTCATTGAACTAAATATATTTTCTTATACTTATGTATTCCAGTCTAAATAATTTCAATAGACATTTATTATGAAACAATAAGAGAAAGGCACTTTCTACAGTTATGATTGAGATTAGATTTCAGAACAGAATGATAACATGATTACAAATAAATTGCTTTTAAGGATTATGCTTAATACTCAATTTAAGGATTATGCTTGCGCACGAAAGTAATCTTTTATATGCAATTTGCGGCAACCAATGAAACATTTTTATTTCTACATTGATTATAAACTCTGATTCGTTTTTATGATATTTAATCATGTGGTAGAAACTTTACGCTTTGCATTTGCGTACATATTTAAAAAGGCGAACACAATCAAGAAAAATAGTTGATGTTATAGAAAAAATCTCGAACATTCTAAGGGTATGTTTTTTTTAAATAGGTAATAATGTAATAAAAGTACGTAATTAATAGAGCTTTTTTTCAATAGCGTAATAAAAAAGTATTGATAAATTTATTGTATATATTGCTATATATTTTCAAATTTTATTATTACTTCCTACATTTTATTAAAAAATTTATGCAATACCGACTTTTATAAGATTTTTATTTCATAGAATAGACTTTTAATTGAAATCTTCTTTCAAAAACTTGAAGAGAATTTTTTTTTTGATATATTTTCCTTAAATACATTCACGTCTTCATTTTCATTCCTCAATTAAATCCTAACCATTCTTTTTATTTTAAACACTGTCTATTATAAACTTTCAATTTACTTCGTATTCATATGAAGAACCTATAAAAGTCCTTTCTGTGAATAAGAATTAATTTACACGGTGGATATTGATTTACATTTGACTGTTGTTTATACGAAGAAAAATATTCTGATAAAATTGCCGTATTTTATAATGATGACAGTTCTAGGAAAATGAAAAAACAACAACATAATGCTGATTAAACCAAAATACACTGGTTATCATAAATTAAGGAAAATTCACAAAAATCGCGATAACTCAAGAAATTACACATGGAATTTTATGAAACTTACCCACAATATACAACACATAGTAAGGTATTAAACAACATAAAAAGAAATTATCAGACATTAATAGTAGTATAGAAATTAGCACATGTATAAAATAAACAAATTGGAAGTATCGGTTTGCAATAGAAAAAGTACCTTTAATATGGAATATGATTGCCTCTAGAAGCAATACAGCACAAACAGCGATGTGTGATGCTTTCAATTATGCGGTCTATCAGTTCAATAGGAAGTGAGAGCCATTGCTCTTGTAAAGCAGTTGCAAGCGTGGCAAGGGTCTGAGGGGGCGGATTGATGGCAGATACACGCCTCCCTAGAGCATCCCAAACGTGCTCGATAGGATTCAAGTCCGGGGATCGAGCTGGCCACTCCATGCGAGTAATTGTTTCCTGTTGAAGATAATCATCAACAATGCGAGCTCTGTGTGGTCTTGCATTATCGTCCTGTAACAGGAAGCAATCACCAATTGCCCCGGCATATGGGCGCACATAAGCATCAAGGATGTTGTCTCGATAAACCTGAGCATTCACGGTTCCCCTTGGAAAGACATGGAGGTATGTGCGCCCTCCTAAGGATATGCCTCCCCAAACACAGACACTGCCTCTTCCGTATGCATCTCTTTCACGGATGTTTGATGGATGATAACGGGTCCCAGGTTCTCTCCATATCAAATAACGTCTACTGTCACTTTCTAGACTAAACCTGGACTCATCCGTAAAGAGAACAGGCCTCCATTGATCTGACGTCCAGTGGACATGTTGTCGGGCCCACTGCAAACGGTCTCTCCTATGGCGTGATGTGAGCGGCACGCAAATGGCTGGTCGTCTCGCATACAGACCACCTTCGTGGAGCCTTCTGCGCACAGTTGACGTTGACACCAACCTTCCGGTGGCTGCAGCAAGAGAGGATCTAAGATGTGTCGGAGTAGCGGTTCTATTCCTGCGTGCACTTAATGTCAAATATCGGTCATCGGCACTGGTCGTAACAGTTGGCCGTCCTTGACTGAACCTCCTAGATGCCGAATCTGTGGTTTGAAATTGCCTCCAAAGTCTATGAACCACAGATGGACTCACATTTAGCCATCTGGCCACTTCTGATTGACTCTGCCCTGCCTCTAGTCTCCCGATGGCTCTCCATCGTAGTTCTTCAGGCAAATGATGCCTAGAGGTCATTATTACGAATTGGCTATCTCAGATTTTCAATGTCGCAATCACAGTAAAATTTGTGTGCTTTCTCTCAAACTTGGACTTTTATGCTCCAGGCAGATGACGTAAGCCGAGTGCAGCGCCACTAATTTGCTTATTGCAATTTTACTCAGCTACTCTTAGTGGACAACATATGCAAATTTTGCACGGTTTGGCTTACTTTTGAAAGAGTTATCGCTATTTTTGTGATTTTTCCTTAATTTATGATAACCAGTGTATGTTTTATTTATGCCTGAATTTTCCTTTAATATGATAACGGTTCACCAGAAATTCTGTTTTTTAAAATTATGGTTAGTATTACCACACATTTATTAAAAAATGCAAAACTGATCAGAAATTTTAACCGAATGAATAGTTTTTATGCTATGCTCTAAACTATCAATATGAATTGAATGAATTTCACTACCTAATTTTTTCACTTAATATAAAGCAATTTATAATTGTTAATTTTACCAAAATCATTACTAAAGCGCTTTGGTAAAAACAATATTGCTTTTTGGCAATCCCATAGAGGTGAAATCATGGTAAATGTTACCATATTCGATTAATTTTTACCATATTTTTCTTCTCAGTGTGAATACTAATGCTAGCTATTTTTATATTTTCGTAGGTATAGACATTAAAAACGAGAGTTAATTAGCAAATATGGAAAAAATGAAGGTATTGTTTTTCCTTTGTGCTTTTATTGTTGTCCATGGAAGAGAAAATAATGACGTTGGACCATATGGCCAACATAACTTGTGGAGGCAAACCCTATGTGGTAAGTAATTATTTTTTTAAACTCTTTTTGATTTTGCAGCGTATAAATAAAAAAAAAACATTCTTTTGTCTTTATAATTTTTTTTTTTTTTTTTTACAAAAATACCATATATTTTTGTCCTGTTTTCTAAAATTGTATAAAATTAGGTAATGAAATGATTTTAAGAAAATCGTGCTATGACGTCCCATGGCAAAGCATTTATTAAAAAATATAGATGTGAAAAGTAAATTTAACCAAATTTACTTGTGATTAGATGTGAAAAGTAAATTTGGTTTTATGCCAGGTTCAAAGGAATCATGGAAAAATTACCAAATGTTGTTGTTGTCGTTTGACAAGTGCAGAAAAATAACAATTCAAATGGCACCGAAGGCATGGAGCACAGCCCTGGCCACATCTCCGACTTTTTCCGGATAAAAGGTTCATAGAAGGGACTTCTACCTGTTGATCGGCGAAATGTATATTATTTCCCTTCTACCACCTACTGTAAAAATAGTGGAGGCATTCCCGTATCCGCCACCTTGGGGACGCGCTCTCTAGGGGTTACAGGCTCCCCTGAGAGAGATCAAATTGTATCACATTAACACATTTTATTTTACAATCACATATTTTAAAACTGTATTTCATTGTTAATATTACCAAATTTCCAATCCATTTGGTGTTTACATTGAAATAGAAACATGGTAAACCATACAACAACTATTATTCAAATATAACGCTATATTTTTTTAATGCTTTCGAAATCCTACGGCGTACGATTTACAATAATATTTTTTGTTCGTTTATTTTCGTAATCATATGTAACATAGAAAGTTTATATAAAATATTTCTACTTGTTTTAAGACGATTACTACCATAATAAAGGTATCACCAAATAAAAATTCTGAAATTTTTCTAATTTGTTTGACCTTTCGCTTATTCCCTCCGCAAACAAAAAGAAAGAAAGAATAAGGAAAAGTTAAGCAGATCAAATTTTATTTTTTACAGTTTATTTTTTAAAGAAAATTATTTAATTTGAATAGTATATTATATAGATATTGCGATTATAATTAAAGTTGCTTTCAAAATGCCTCAAAAAAAGATCTACAAGTCAAACTAACTATTTGATTTTTCACCTAAATATACATAACATTATGGAATTTATTTTGCGAAATAAAAAATATGGAAAAAGAGCAATCATTTTTAAAATATTATAAAACTTATTAACTATTTTTTATAATATTTTAAAAATGATTGCTTTGAAAAGAGTTGTGTCAATTTTAAGATGTCTGTTAAGCACATTTTAAACCTAATTTATAATAAAAATATTTTATCGAAAACAACATAATGATTGAAAAACAGTTCATACCATAATAAACCACTAGTTGTTGCGCAATGAACTAATATCATAAGATCACGTGATAATAAAGTTTTAAGAATTAGATATAAGGATCAAAATTGAAAGTGTAATATTAGCAGAGTAGAACACCAGAAATAAATTAGGTTTATCTTACGTTAACGGTAACGATGATATTATTATTTTTTTTTCAAATTAGCGATACAGCGCATGCTCAGAAATATCGTTTTGCATCTTATTATAGTCGACGAAATAATTTTAGTTGTCTATTTTAAAAATGGAGACAAAAGAACGTTTAAGGCGGGTTATAAATAACGAGATATTTCTTATCAGAGATGCTTTAGTTTCGGATCCTTATAAAGATCCGGAGTGTTGGAAGCATTTGCATAAAAATGTAGTCAAGACAAATGAATAAAATTTTCAATGCAAACTGTACGAGAGCATGTACTACTTTTGAAGCATTTTATAAGAGAATTCAAATTGAATCTGGGAAAGAAGTGCTTATTGAAAATGTAAATATAAATCTTAAATGATGAAGCTTATTCTAACTGCATTATGCAAATTCTATAAGTACTCTTATATTTACTTGGCTTAATATTGCAAGTTGTAATGTATGATATACAAAATCCTTATATACAAACTACTATTTTTACTCTGACTGACAAAGTGCAGTAACTTTTAAAGAAGAGTGTAAGAGTTGAAAAATTTATTTCAGAATAAAAATACTGTTGAACTTTTACTAAGCCAGAAATGATGGTGGAAGGATACATAAAGGTTTTTTGTTTACAGAGAAAAATTGCGAAATATTTCTGTCGATTTGTCCTTGAGTCGGCATTCCTTACTAATTATTAGTCAGATTAACGCTGTTTGTCAAAACTTTGGTATTCATCTACCAAAGGTAATGTCAAGTGCCAGATGACTTCATGTTATCCATTAGTTCCTCGCTGAACAGAGTATGGATATATTATGTTAATTATGACGTTATTGTTTTCACATAGTTGCACTCTTCTTCTAAATTTGTCGCACTCTTCAATCGACCAAAGTAAATGCAGGAGTACAATTGTATTTAGAATAAACTTCGTTCAAGATCTATATTTACATTTCAACAAAATTAAAAAATATATGGGGAATAAAGCACTTGCGTTTTCAGATTTGATCTGTGTTCTCTTCTAAAATGCTTTAGAAGTAATTCATTATATGGCAACTTTTTAGATTTCTCTTAAACAAATTAGAGCCCTTAATCCACTAAATTTGCTTTTTAGTACATAATTAATCTTCTTTGCACAAATTTGTGTGCAGTAGCTTACATTGAAAAATTTCAAGATTATTTCTTTTGCAACAATACTTCTATTTCAAATGATATTATTAACGACATCTTGATAAATTGTTCATGAATCATTACAGTCTGTACTGAGAAGAACTGTTAAAAATATTTTTTTTAATATATTTTGTATTAAAAACTACTTTTTATGCCAATACATTTATAAATATTTAATCATTTTAAAAATATAGCATTATTTTTAATACATTTTTTTTAGAAAGAAATTGCGACACACTGAATAAAAAGCTGCATCATTGCATGACACTTGAAACGACGTATGTAAGTGCTTTGAAGTATTAATTTTAGGTAGGAAGGATTTGGGACATTATAATCATAAGCCACATTTACAAGTTGATAATGAGAACGTTTTGAGCATAAATAATAATAATTATGTAGCAACTGGATATTTGTATATTCTGTGCTGTTTATGCAATGAATAACAATAATAATAATGCAGCCACTGGATATTAATCAGTACTGTGTGATATGTAATAAATCATTCCGACACTTATGAGGAAACGCTTATAATTTTATCTTAATAAGAGAATGTTAATATAAAAATGTTACCTTTAGAAAAAGTGTGTCACATCACTTAATAATTCCAAATCTTTCATTTACTCAAGCCTGTATAAAATATGGACGTGCTACTTGAAAGAGGAATTTTAATACTGAAAAGTAGTTGAAACATATCTGTAACTTTATAAATAACAGTTTCTCCTCAAATTTCGCATAAAAATAGCAACATTAAATTAACAAAATTATTGATGAGCAACAAAATATAACTACATCACTATCATTGCTAATTGAAAGAAAGATGATATTTTATTAACAAATTTATTACAAAAAAAGGATGCTTAAACATTACGAAACTTTATCTGTTTTGTCGAAACCATTTCCCTGTATATGCTCTGAGTAAAAATTTCGTCGAAAATAAAAAAATATTTCGTCATTCTACTTTTTTTCAGAAAAAAAACTCGTATCCCATAATGTATTAAATATTCATAATGATCAATTATAATGGGCACCATATCGATGGCGCTATATAAGAAGGTCAGATAATACAGAGAGACAAATTACACGCACACCCAGAGCGGGATTCGAACTCCGGATCTTCCTCGTACGAGGCCAACTGCTTACCTACTATACAAGCCGATCAGCTTATTCGTCACACTCTTTTCGATTGTCTAGTCTTTATTCTAGTTTCGTCATTCTAGTTAACAATATCCCGCAATGCACTATGATGATCTTTTGAGTTGAGGAAACACTTTTGTCATACATTTGAGAGTTCACGTTTCGTCACATACCACGAGATTTCGTTACGAAATGATTCTCAAAAATTAACGAAATATTGCTCAGGGATTTCTAAATCGTCAAAAGTGAGAGTTTTACTTCTGAGAGTGTTATTTTGATTTATATATGAATAAATTGATATTTTACAAATTATATTGCGTTTTTGAAACTGATGTTCATTGGTTGATTTTCATTAAACTACAGATTACCATCTCCTTTCAAGTATTAACTTACTAAATTAACCTCTGAAAATAATATGCCAAAAATAAAACAGATTGTCAATAATAATATTTTTCTTTTTGTTTCCCTAGTTTCATGATACATTCCAGAAGTGTTTAAATGAGATTCTGCCAGCCATTAAAGGTTCATACGTACTTTTTCAACGGAAGGCGTGCAAGGATAAAACCATTTATCACAAGGTAAAATATTATTTTTTTTTTAATATTCACAGTTTCACTTTTGATCTTGAGAACTTTTTTATTGAAATTTTTAAGGAATACTAAAAAAGTTTCTTGCGTTGCCTCTTATTATCTTACTGAAAATATATCAAAACATAATTTAGTACACTTAAAAATAACACTTTCATCACCGTGTATTAAGGGTTATCTAAATAAAATGTGAAGAAATATAATATCGTTAAAAATGCAGAAATTTTAGATAAGCCATTTAGGGTTATAAAAGGAAAAACTACCGCAAAGAATACCAGAAGAATACCTCAAAAACTGAGAATAACCGTTGCATGGTCTACTGTGCAAGAACGAATCATTCTTTTATTCATATCAATCAAACTAAGTTTACTCATGCTGTACAAATACACAAATTAAAATTCCTCTATTGCCATCCACCACAGCTCTATAGATTTCTATTTTGACCGATCCTATATTGATATACACCGAAGAGCCATTACATTATGACCACCCTGCTAATAACATGTAGGACCACCTTTAGCCCTCAAAACTGCTAGCACCCGCCGTGGCATTGATTCCACAAGGTGCTGATAGGTAGTCTGAGGTATCTGGTACCTAGCGCTCACCAACTGGTCCTGCAATTCCTCCACATTGCGAGGGGGTAGCGTGACAGCACGAATTTGGTTTTCCATGTAGGACCACAAATGCTCTATTGGATTAAGGTCAGGAGAATTTGGGGGCCAAGACATGAGTTGAAAGTCACTGGAATGCTCCTCGAACCAATCCATGAGGATTCGACCCTTATGACATTTTGCATTATCCTGTTGGTAAACACCATCCCCCGCAAGAAAAACTGTTGCGATGAGTGGGTGAACCTGTTCACTGTGTTCAAGCTTACAGAAGTCAGGGATTATTCTATGAGGATTATGGGTCCTAATGTGCTCCATGAAAACCTGGGCGATCCCATTGTTATAGATGGAGGGTTGTCATAATGTTATGGCTCTTCGGTGTACGTTCTTATTGTAAACTTTATCTCTATTTGCCCCCACTGTAAGAAATTCTAAATCAAATGTCAGTAAAAAGTACTGCAGCCCTGCGGGCAGCATTCGTAAAACTCCTTTTTACTGCAAAATTTGAGACCGTAATTTTTACAGTAGTTTTTATTTAATTGCAGTGATTTTACAGTAAATATTATCATAAAAATTATGGTATTTCAGATTTTTCAGATTTTTTTTTGCTTCGTAAAATTTTACTTTAAAAATTTCAGTAAAAAGTAGTAGCACTCTGAGTGCCGATGCTAATTTGATCCAGAATTTTTTTAGAGTGCAAAGCCGTTTGCCTTGGAAAATATTTCTCATAAACTGTAAACATGAACATTTCGTTCATATTTTCTGACTAAAATCGTACTACCAATAGGTCGTATACGCTGACAAATGATACGGAAATCTATTAGCATATAAAAGTATAGTTTTCTAATAGTCCAGGTTTACGAATCAGGGAGTATGGGAAACTAGAAACTCTTCATGTGTTGAAGAGAAAGAAAGAAATATTGTGGTGTCAACACAGGGACTCGTGCCCCGTTCTGTCGGTCATGAGATTAAAAGAATAGCCCTCTCTGCTGTAACATGCACCCAACTGCTAGGAACTAAGTGATCTAGTTGGTGCAATAAAATTCTGATATACAATAAGCAAAACGACAATTCGTTTTCCATGCTAAAATCAAAAATAATTTTTGATTTAATTTGACGCAAATGCTGAAGTATAAAAGAAGGGGATAATAAACAAAAAAAAACGAAAGGTACGAGATGCCACCAGAAGCCATAAGGAAAAGAAGAGGACCAACAAACAAGAATAATAAAGAAGGAATTTTTTACTAAGCTAGCGCAATAACTAAATGTTTAAAGAAAATGTGGTGAAATACGGAGATAACAAACAAAGTACAAAAAAGTACAAGATCACTCATAAAGAAAAAAAAAATCTAATAAAAATTGCTGTACTTTACGGCAATGGCATTTCTAATAATAATAAATATAATTCTGGGTAATAAAATAAAAATATGTGTCACTTAAATCATTCATTTTGGTAATTTTTTCCATTCAAATGGTAACGGTTTAATAGAAATACTGGTTTTTAAAATTATGGTTCAATTCTTGATGTTTCGTAACAAATACCGAACTTAAAAGTAAGTTCTACCAGATAAATGGTTTCATGCCATGCTCTAAGGAATTATGATGAAATTAATAAATTTTGACACAATTACATCATATTTTATTTTATAATTTTATAACAGTCGCCGAATAGCCGACAATTTTTTGGGGGGTTAACGACTACTTATGTAGTAGCCTTGTAGTTTAGAACCCAATACAGAAGACAAGAGAACTCTTTGATCAAGTATTGGGAGAAATTTGCCTTCGTGGATAATTTTTTGATAGAACAAACCCCCATTTGCGTTACACAGAGAGGAAAAACATGAAAACCTCCCATGGTTAGCCTGATGGCAAGTGAACTCTAAGCCATGATCCATCAAGCCATGATCGAGCCGGGTGTGGAATTCGTGCTGACCAGCCATCGCTGGGATTCGAACCTGGTTCATCTCATTTGAAGGCGAACGCTCTGTCCCCTGAGACACTTGTCAATTCCCCAAAATTATTCCCAAAGTGCTTCGGTAAAAGCTACTGAAGCTCTCTGTTAAAAAAAAAGATGGCTCTTATAGGTAAATATGGTAAATTTTACTTCAGGTATGTAGTTTTGACAATTTTTTTTTCTCAGTGCAGGAATGCCTTCAAGTATTTATCAGATTACGGAATCAAAAAGTACCGGGTCAACAAAATTTTAAAAAAATATAGAGCGATATTTCAATTTATTATTCTAATGAAGAATTACTCTTTGTGTTTCAGATAGACGAATGCATAAGCGAACACAAAGCTGTGTATACTACGGTAAGATGCAAGTTTTAGCTTTTGTAAAAGTACTTTTGAGCAAGTTTAAGTTCACTGAAAAAAATAAAATCAAAAATTGCTCTTACTAAGAATTATATTTATGAATGGTTAACAAGACAATACTGGCTAACTAATGAGCCAAAACTGGCAATAGTGCATAAAAGCAAGAGTGAGGTTTAAAATTAAAATCAAAAAAAAAAGTTTTAACTATAATCACGCTTAATTGACTCACCTAAAAATCTAGATTCTTTGAAAAGACTTTGAGTAAGCAATTTAAAATTCATATTAAAAGAAATAAAACTCTAAAAAACCCACTGCACTCTAAACCCAAAATATCCCATAATATTTTGGGATATATATGAAAGCATATTACGGGGCAAAATTGTTGCAACCCTAACAAGCTCTTAAATTTCTCAACTTAAACCATTTTATGTAGTAATATGATAGTTCGCATTATGATTCTATATGTTTCAACATAGCACCATATTATAGTTGCAGCAAATTTGTGCTTTATTATAACTCTACACGATTTAAAATTTCACGTTATACCACACTATAAATGTACCATAAATCCACGAACTATACCAAAATACTCTAATAAATAAACTAACTATAAAGATGAAAAACGTTAAAACTTGATTTTGTTTGAATAACGGCATCACGTTTATGAGTATAATAAATATTTTTATTAGTCACCATGCATATTTACTCAATTTTACTAGCGCATGAATTTTTTTGAACTGTTTTAAAAAGCTTTGCCTTATTGAAAATTTAAATAAAAATTTAGTTTTTTTAATAATGTTTATAAGATAAATAAAAAAAAATTCTTTACCTTAGCAGTGTTATATATTGTTTTTGACTTATAGTGGTGTATTTATGTTTGAAGTAAAATTTTGTTTTTAACTAAATTACGGGGCTCATTAAACTAAGGGTTCCTGAAATTTACTACCTCTAAATTCTAAATCTTCATTAAAAACTAGCAAAATCTATGAATAATGGAAACTACAGTAGTAATAAACAATCTCCAAAAATTATAAATATAAAAAAAGAGCATTAAATAACTGACTAGAGGCGCAGCAGCAGTTTGCTATTCTTGCCAAGTTTTGGAACTTCTTTCACTACTCTCGCTTATCGAATACAAACATATTTTAGTACAGTTTCGCACGATTTGTACTAAATAAAGTTCTAAAAATATGCGCCATTAATTCGTAACTCTAAATTTTAGAATACAGAGTAAGAAAGAGAGACCAAATGAAATGTTAAGGAAATTGAAAAAAAGGGGGAAAAAACGGAATAAAATTAAATTAAAATAGTTGTAGTTAGTACTACAGAGCTAAAACAAAAGCTTTAATTCATGAGCAACATCATTTATAAATGTGGGTTATTCCGAAAATTCACTGATATTTTCGTATAATTGCAAATTTTTGTGATGGCATTTATAACGGTGACAAAATTAAAGAATTTCGTTCTAAAAGGTGTATCTATTACTGGCACTTTTTCTGCAACATTTTTCTTCATTGATCTCTGCTGATTCTACGCCTCTGAAATTTAATTAAAGACATACTGAAATCATGAATATAAACTATGGACTGACTGTATTCAGGTTGCAATACTTGAAAGGCACTTTTGTTTCAAAAAATCTAAAATAGATGCAAATACGTTTTCATTACAAAACTTGGTACATTTGAGGTTTAAACAAATTTGTATATTCGGGTTGACTAAGCAATATTTAAAAATATTTCAAAAACAAATCATTACTGATTTTGAAAGAAATCTAAGCAAGATTTACAAGTGTCGAAAAACAGTTTATTTTTCCAGAGATTGTAATGCGTTTATCTTTAGTTAGAAATAACCGATAAGATTATCATTCTTAGAAAAATGTAAGAATGCATGTTAATAAATTATTATTCAACTGCTTCGACTTTTACTGATATCATCACTTATTGACTACTGTTAGAAAATATTTTTGTTCTTTTCAACTTCTTAGTATAATTTGTGACCAACCAAAATTTGTGTAAATTTTTTTAATTTCTTTTTCAAAAAAAATCTAAATCAAACACACAATTCAAATAAAGAAGGAAAATATTAACGTCATGTACCATCATTGCTCTTTATGTCTCTCGACTTTGTCAATTTATTCTCTATGCTATATTTTTGTTATTTCTCATTTGAAATAATTTAATCTATATACCCGGTACTGAACTTACTAACTAAAGTGCGAAGCATTGCAGAAATAGCTGAAATTCAAGTACATGAGAAATATGTTGCTTAATTATTTTTATTACTTAATTATATTATCGTCATTTACATAAATGATTGTTTTGCAGATGAATCAAGAAGCTGCTGTAAGTAAATATAACAATTGCTCTAATTTAATTATAAATATTTACCATAAATCAGGGAAATTTACAAAGCTTTTTAAATATGATAATTGGAGCACCTGAGAAGTTCCAGTGGAAACAGTATCTGAGTTTAAGGATGGACAATGTGATATTCTGATGAGGCGTGCAAAATATGTGTTTCGAAACCATATGGCGACCAGTTGTTGAAAATATGGTGTCTGATAACTTTAAAATTATTATATTTAAAATATTTTTCAACATTTGTAACTCAAAACGAGACATATCTGTATAGTTTAATGTTCTTTTGGGGATTTTAAAAGGCCAAAGTTTATGTTTAGATACATTTATTTTGCCATACAACCATGTTTCATATGCAGCTTAAGCAAAGGAATTATGAGAAATAGGGAATTATGTTGAAGTAGTTAAGATTACATTCAATTAATCGGTGAGAAAGATTTTGGTAAAACTACCTTCTGTACGGTAAATTTCTATTAAAAATTATAATTCTGATTAATAAAACCAAACTGTACGTTATTTAAAAGGGTAATTTAGTAATTCTTCTGTTCATATGAAAACGGTTTTCCAGAGAGTCTGGCTTTCAAAATTATAGTTCTTCAGTAAACTATACGAAACTAGAAATTAAATTTAACTGAATAAATGGCTTTTATGACATGATCAAAGTTATCATGATAAAATTACGGAATTTTGTCAAATATTATATGAGCATACTTTATTTTTAATTTTACCAAAATCATTGCCAAAGTTCTTCGGCAAAACAGACAGAGCTTTTTGGTTTTCCCATAGAACCAGAAACATGGTAAATTTTACCATATTCTGGTAGTTTTGACCATACTTTTTATCTAATTGTATGATTGTACTATGTGTAACTGTACTATGTTTGAACTGATGACGACAATTTTTTTAAAATATATAGTGTTCATTAATGACCCCCCTTGACGTATGTTTTTAAATTCCTTGTCATAAAGGACATTAGAAATTAAGGGTTGCGTTCAAGTTCAAAAAAATTAATATAAAAATGCTATCAGAACATAACAACTAATAAAGACAATATTAAAAGATCAATTTCTATTTAATTGTCTATAAAAAAAGAGAACTAGAGGGTAAAGAATCAGTTATTATAAGCATATCCGAATTTCATCTGACCATCAAAACTGATTTTGGTATTTTTTTTACTCCGCTTTCCTTACAATTAATTTCAATAGCTTTCTTGTTTAATCCAGGCTTGAGTAGTAAAATGTAATACTTTTAATGTCCATGCTTTCTTCACTTTATTTATGACTGAGATGTTGGATAGTCTTACAGAACATACATGCCTCTGATTATTGCAGCTTGAAGTTCCACTGAAAATTAAATATGCTTCAACCATGTGTACCATCGTGTCCTGATACTTCTAATCATAAAAACATAAAGAGGTTTACGATTTAAAAAAATAATGCGATGCAGTTCAGAAATCTTGTGTTCAAAAAAACAACAAATCTTCAGAACTAGTAGTAAAAACTGTTTTTCGTACATAAAAGTGACACACAAATAATGTCTTACGTTTTCCGAAAACTTTTTCACTTATTTTCATGTGAATTTTTTGAATTTTTAATCATATAATTGAAGGTTTTCTTACGATTTTGTAATGCACTTTTTTTTCAGGACTGTTTCTTGAATGTGTTGAAGAAATACAATTTACCAGAATTAATAAAAAAGTATTTTTCGTTTGTGAAATGTGAAAAGAAATAATTTATTCAGCTTTCTGAAATCCATTTCATTTGATATAAAAAGATTGTCAAATGAGTTAAAGTTTGTATGAAATCAAAATAAACTTTTGAATACCTATTTTTTCCCTCTTATTTGCTTGATAATAAATGAACGTGGAAAAAGATAAGTTTAAATTATAACCTCAAAAGAAAGATTTTGTCTGATCTACATTCTTTTTCCAATTATAAGTACATTTTCAACACTACTTTTGTGTTATAAATGCTTTGGGGCATACTATCTCTGAACTAAATAATAAATATTTACATTTATTTAATTACTAGCACTTCTTCGCACAGGATTAATAATACATAAGTAAAAAATCAGTAACTCAGGGTAGAGAAACACTACGAAATCATGCTCACAACTGAAAGGCATATACCGACACAATTAAAGAGCTTGATGGAAGAACCAAGTAAGTGACTATTTCAGGGGAATGAATGAATTACTGCTTTTGCCTTCTCTTAAATTTTAGCATAACTTATTACACAAATTTTTAGTAAGCTGGCATGATTTTTATTGCAAATTAGGCAATAAGGTTTTATTTTTTAGGTAATTTGGTTTTATTTAAAATTAGGAACAATGAAGCAAAGAATTATTTGCTCCACCTTCTTCTAAATTGGTAATAAAATAGTTCGAATACAACATTTTTTTCATTCTGGAAACCTGTTTCATCCACTAAGTGTTTCAATTAATTTTTTCCTTTATTATTATTTGTTACCAATTTTGATGGCTTTAAGTTGCTGAAGTAAGTAAAACTTTTTCTGTAGTTTATCCCATTACAATAAAGATAAATTATATTTAGAATCACTTGGCATGATGCTATTACTCGCGTCCAAGCCATAATAGTCAAAATTTACCACTATCAGACATTTTTTGGGGGTACATATCCCTCTCGAGGGACCGTAAAACACTTCTTTCTTAAATTATGGGTATTTAAATTGTTTAGTATTGGTTCTGTTTTATTCATGTGAGAAATATATTTGTCAGTTTTGTGAAAATATATTTGTCAGTGACAGCCAACAAAAGCCAAACCATTTTTTAAAAGAAATAGAATTCCCTTAGAACTTGTTAAGGTTTTTTGGAGCATGGCCAGTTCTCTATCTGAATTATAATTTACTGTTAAAATATTTATAAGTAGTGGAGAAACAAAGTTCTTTATACTCTATTCCATTAAACTTATATTGATATTAATATTAATACACTATCTTTACCACTGAAAAAAATATATTCGCAAATTACGGAAAACCCGTTGTGGAATTCTTATCAAATCTGTACCAATTAACATAATACCAGTAGAGCATATTACCGTCAGTAGTACACAATAAGTCAGCGTCATCTGTAAATGGCAATTTTCTACGGTTTTCCTAAGCGAATTTCCCATTAACCTTTTTTTCTTTAACTTCGCATTTTAGCTCATAGCTTGTTTCATTTATTTCAATTAATTAATATTATCAATATTAATTAAGCATAAGTGTCAATAGTAATGTCGGAATTTTTTACGGCTGCAAAGATGAATAAGTATGCTTTCTCCATTATTTTTGCTTTTTAGTACAAAAGTTCTTTTTTTATCAATTAACATACTACTAACATTAACTTATCATTATTGTCATCAATGATAGTATGATTATTACTTACGGTTCTTCTTGATAAATATCTTTATTACACTACTTTTGAGTTCTAGTACATAGTTTATTTATAATATTTCAATATATATATATTACCTAAATGAATTAAACGACATCGTCGTCAATAATAATATGGCAATTTCATTTGCATTTTGTCTAAGCGAATTAGTACCAGTTTTACATTAATTTTGTCTTCGAATACATAAATATTTTTTTACTCAATTAAAGGTGATTTTAAATAATTATTTTTTCGAAACGGATTTTAAGAGAATTAGTACAATAAATAAAAAAAGCGCTTGGTATCAGACAACTGTAAAAGTATAAATTTGGTGACGCAGAAAACGCGTGCTACCACGTAATGTTATTCATTTGATTTATCGGATACGGCGAATGTAAATAATTAAATATTTAAATCCTCGCAAGAAGCTATTTTTTCTTCAAATAGAGTATTAAGCTAGAAATTGTCACTGATATCATCTTTAAAATATGTGAAAAACTGAATTGCTTATAGTAAAATTTAAAGCAATGAGCTAACACTTAACCAATTACACTATTCTATTTTGTTTTTCACGCATCCTGCTAGAATGATTTATCTTAGAATGTTCTAATGTCGGCAGTGACCTTCCTCGTGCTTTGAACTATCTGTATGCCAAGTTTCACAGCTTTCGGTCGGATGGTTTAAGAGTCTATAAAGGACATGCACACTAGGACTGATCTATAAATCGATGTATCGAGACATATCGATTTAACGCATATATCGGCAAGACGATACAGCGACTTTCATTCAAGGCGATGCATCAGAAATCTGATTTAAGCCGCCGAGTAAAGACAACAAACGCAAAACGATATAGCGATATAAGGCAAGCAAGGATATAAGATAACGATATAGCGATATAAGACTCTTCTCTTACGTTCCGATGTCGACTCGCGCTGTGGAAGACGATGTTCGTTTCGTTATGTTGAAATGGCCTTGATTGGTGAGCTGTAGAATCAGAATCAGAGTTTTGAGAACACATATCGTTATATCGCATGTTCCTTTTCGCACCTCTTAGCTTTTTTTTTCTTTGTCGCGACTTTTCTTGTAGATTATTTTCAGTGGGACTAACTTCGTGATCGCCGATGTTACCTTGTTCTGAAGGCAATCTATTATTGAAAAGAATATATAAAGAAGAGTTTCTTCATTAATTAGATAAGTTTTTTTTTAAAAAAAACTTCTTTTTATTTTTAAATGTGAAAATTATCGGCAATCTAATTTAGGCGCCCATAAAGAATTGAATTTGTTAGGTTATTTTTTTACTTTCTTTTAATTTATTAAAAACTTTTTGGATGAAACTTCTAATAATTTAATGAGTTTTTATTACTGATTTTAAATTTATAAATCTTGTTGTTTTTATTTTTAGAAATAAAGTTAAAACAAAATTTATTTTTGTCATTTGGATTTGGACATAAGTCAATCAACTTTGTTTATACAAAAAAAACTTGAAAGGTTTGCGTATTTTATTCATTTTTTTAAATCATTTAGCACTTCGTTCTATTAGAGAGTATAATAATTTTTTTTTATAAAATATTCTTTTCATATTATTTGTTAATTAGCTAAATATGTTATCGAATATCACATTTTTTTTTAGTTTTAAGAAATTAAATCTTACTTTGTTCTTCGTTCATAATTCGGTCATTACTTGTGCGGGTGAGTGACCACTTGGATCAGTCTACGTAGGGAGCGAGGGTGTGCGGCATGGGTCCTCGTCAAACTGTTCTACCTTAAAGTGCTCGACTTCGCGTGCAGGTCGTCGAGTTACCAAAGCGGGGGTGCCATCCCATCTGCAGAGGATCAAAATTGTGATGGCATGTCTTCGGATCATTCTCAGGAATGTTTCCCAGACCGTCGCCAATAGCTCATTATGCAGCTCTGGTGTGACGTAAATGAACTATAATAGAACTATAATAACTGAAATGATAATAATAAAAAATATTGTTTTAAAAGCGTTTTTTTTTCTAAAATTTATTTAGCACTTTGTTTTAAACATACAATTCCTTTTTAATGTTTAATTTAGAAATTGAACAATACGATCGAACTTAATAATTATGTAATTATTTATGCATAATAGTACTAGAAAATATTAATTTGTAAAAAACGCTTTAAAAAAATTTTTAACACTTTGTTTTACGCGTATTATGAATTTCTAAACAAACATTTCAATAAATATTTCAAGTATGATTTGTACATTGTAGTCAATTTATTTAATATCTTTCTTAAGCAAAACATATATATCTTCAAATTTATAAATTGATTTAAATCAATCTGAGTATGAAGTTTTGATAGAAATCTGACTTTCTGTGTCTTTATAAGTAAATGAAATTCAAAAATACTATATCGCGATATATCGCTATATCGCGATGCAAAACTGACGATGCATCACGATATATAATTTCTAATATCGCCCAGTCCTAATGCACACACAGACATTCTTTTTTATATAGATAGAATTCTGGATGTATATAAAATACTTTTCAAAAATATGACGTATATATTTATATATATAATAAGAGAAAAAATTAACAAAAAATTTATGGAAAAAAGAAAAGGTTCTCTACAGGACGCATTCCTTTACGACAGTGAAATAGACATTTTTAAATAAGGAAGAATTATCCTAAGACAAAAATCACTCTTTATAATGCGTCTATGCCTCTAAAAAATTTAAAAAATGCAATTGTAAATGAGTTTACGATGAAAGAAAGAAGAAAAGCAAAAAAAAAATACCAATATAAAGTAAAATTAATTAAATAAACATGTGATAAAACTAAATATATAATCTAACAGTTAACAAAAATTGTTAATAAGAAAAATATAATGAATGAGTTTTGATTTCATATTGTATAATATAATTGGTGGAAATATGGAAAATAAATTATATTTTGGTGTTGCCATCTATGAAAAAAACACTTTAAAAACCAATACTAATTAGAAAATTACACTACAACTAGTCAATAAACTGATTGAAAACAGAAAAGATAAAAAAAAATGCTCTTTACCGTAAACCATATGGTAAATGGCATGGATCGACAAGCTGTTATGGTTTATTTTACAAAAATTTTACGAATGAAACTTCTAACAATGTGAAAGCACATAGAGCTAGTTTTAAAAAGTTATTTTAGGCTAGAGTCAATTCATATTTTTAGACGCATAAGAAAATTTTCTGTTAATACTAAATGTATACTAGGAAACATTTTAATCTGTCTTGTACCTCCCACCATTAATGATTTTTCTAATAATTTGTTGCACTCAAAATTTATTTAAATCTGATTACACATTTTTAAAAATGCCTGGTTGTAATTAAAAGTTTTCGTAGAATATTTGCAAAAAAAATTATTTTCTTTAATGTTATTAAAATCAACAATTTCTTGTAAGAGCAAAAATTGCCACTCTTAAAATTACATATTGAATCAGATACGAAAATGTGCTTGAGATGGTAGGGTGTACTCAAGTTTGAACAAAATAGAATCTGAAATCTTTCTGAGAAAGGTTTTAGTTGTTTGATAAGTTCAATAAGTCTTTTGGACTCTCCTGTGAGATATTTCAATGCCATTTAATGAATAACTCCATTAAAATACAGCATAAGAATTCCTTAGCCGTCTTAAAATACCTAAATATGTTTCGTCTTGCCAGGAACTACATGTTATGCCAGGAACTACAGTTTAAAACTGTAGTTCCTGGAAATAACTTTCCATGTTTTACAACTGTCCGGAATTGGTAAAAAAACGTGACAATGTAGATTCAGACATTAATTATCAATTAGGGGGATCCTTTGAAAATAACCGAGTGCGTGCCTTCTGAAAACTTCGGCTTATAAATGATATTCATCATTTTAGGTAATTAATTGTTTTAAACGTGTAACTATCACAAAATAGACCTTCCTATTAACTTAGCCTGCCGGTAAAAAATGAATATGATTTGGATAAAAAATGAAGTTTAAGTAGAAAAGAGTTTAAAATTCAAATATGAGAAATATCTCTTACATGTCGATATTTCTTCAAATTTTTACATGCAAATTATATTAAAATCTTAAGACATGGGTAGTTCGTGTGGGTTTTTAACTAAATCAGAAGCGTAAATAAGTGAAAAAAACTGAACCTCTATGCTAAGTTATTTGTGCTTATCTAGGCAAAACTTGATTCCCCGGTAGATAGGGGAGAAGTGAATTGATTTCTTTCTAAAAATGCTGTCAAGTTTCAGCCCTTCGATATTTTTTTTTAAAATTCACAATTAAAACTTAAAAAAAATTACTTTTTTAAAAGAAAAATGAACTTAATTGTACTAATTAATGGAATGTGTTTTAATTACATTACTAATTTAGAAGTAATTCTAAAAATTGACTAAACTTAACCAAGCTGCTTATACTTTCCTTATTATATTAAAATGCACATATATTCTCATAACGTGAATTTTCGTAGTCATGCATTATTTATTTTTTGCGTAATAATTGTATTTGTTTTTATTGCATTATTACCAACCAAAATTTTGATATTACTTCTCCAGTATTTTACTGTACTTTGTTTTACTAGTTTGTTTCACTGTCCTATTAAAATTTATTGCATTTGATGGCATTATTTTATTAGAACTGACCAATTTAAATTTATTGGAATTGACCAATGCAGTGTTCAACCACAATTTTTCTGAGAGGTAACATTTTTTGTTAACCAGTCATTTAATATTGGTTTTAGGAATATACTTCTAGCTTGGCACCATATTAGGGTTCGAACAAAATTGAACGTTATTATGGTTCGAAATTTCTTATAATGTTTAGTGACACATTTAACTTAAATTCAACAGTAGTTAAAGGATTCGTTTGGATTTATGCATAAAAGCGTCGCTATTCCGCAGTATATTCAACGTAACCTAATAGTTGCAAATAATTAATTTCAGAAATAAACTCCCTAACGTGATTATGATATTCAAGATCACAGAAATTTTTACTATAGTTTTTCCTTTAATTCACAGTTTTATTATTATGAGCTTTTTTTGGTGTCTAGACAAAAGTTATTATTTCGAAACTGACATAACTGAAATAAAAATGGCAAATAATTTGATAATTTGTTTATTCTTTAAGACAAAATGTGCGTGCATAAAATGTGAAAAAGAATGGAGTACGAAATTGCAAAACAATAATTCCGTGAAGGAAGTTCAGCAGGTTTGAGGAATAATTATTGGAATTTAAGTGTTGGTTTAGCACGAAAATATTTGTTTCGGAGAATATTTTGTTCAAATAAATTTCATTGGTAATTTAAAAAAAATTATATGAAATCATATAAAACAGTAGCTGACAGATTTAGATTTCGAAAACATCTAAATCTGTCTTTTTAGGTAAGTGTATTTTCAAATTTTTGTATAAGTAAAAGGTGGACATAGCACAAAAGTGCTTCAAAAGTTTCAAAACTCTGTTTTTGTTTCTTTCTTATTTTTATTCATTTATTTTCGCTTGCAAGAAGTTAAAAAATTCCGTTCTTTTTAGAGAATTTCTCTGTATATTTGACAGTTTAAAGCTGTTTTCTTGACAAAACAGTTTTTCTCTAACTAATAACCGTCAGTTTAAATTCAAGTTTTTTCCTCGCACGTTTGCTTCCTGTACGAAAAACTCCACAAATTTTTTAAAGCATATTATAACTATTTTCTAGACTGACTCTCATTTTTCAGCAATTGTTTTATAATTTTGAACATTATATGAATAAAACTGGGTGTTTATTGTCTATCTGATTATTATATTTCTTTTTTATACAAGTATTTGGTTAAGTTGCCAGACATTTTATACGGGCAAGCTACTATAATTTTAAACATTTTTACACTTAAATATCATTTCAATAAGTGGGAATTTTAAAATGGAAACAGTGAAAAAAATTCTTAATACTCTGCTACTAAAGATGTGATAGCTTGGAGAACAGAGCTCCCGCCTTAGCGCCACTGAGGTGTCCAAGGTTTGAATCCCAGCATCGACTGGCCGTAAGATTGTTGCGCTGGGCTCGCGTCGACCACAATAATTATTAGCAGGCATAATTATTTCATAGATTTTTTTTGGTAAAATAACAGTTCGTTTGTCAAAGTAAACGGAGGTTTTTTAATAAAATAGCTGTATTTCATCTGCTTTGAAAATAGGCTGTGCTTGTTTAAAATTATATTATTTTTCGGCGAAATAAGCAGTTTTATACGGACATACCAGTTCACATTTTTTTAATAACTTTAGCAGATTTTTTGCATTGTAGAAACACTAACTCATATGTTTAAACAATAGTATGCTTGCATGCTTTATTAATGAATTTAAAGAGTATACTTTTTTCTTATCGAAATTGATTTTTAACTCAGAACAAGGCAAATTTTAAAGACACACAAAACATGTCTTTTTCATCCTCCAAAAGGTTCTAAAACCATTAAAAAAAGTCTGCTTGAACTTTTCGAAGCTGGAAAAAAAATCTGCGATGAAGTACGGATTTTTTAATTTTGAAAACGCTGAAGAATAATTTTTTTCTGCATGTAGTATAAATAGAATTATGTTTTACATGTTACAAAACAATTATGGTGCATTCTATATTATCTTGAAATGAAACAATTCCATATTCAAAACAAAAAATGAGATATAAAAAGGTTTAAATTGTAAAAACACTCTGAATGTAAAATTTTTTTGCAATAAATAATAAACTCTGAACATGATACAGAAGGTAATAATTTAGAACTTTAAAAAATGGTTAAATATGACATCAATTTTAAAAATTTAAGTCGGTAATCTCGCCATAAAATTTTATTTAAATACTAAACATTTTTAAAAAATACGCCAATCTAAACACATTTTCTATCAGCTTGGTAGTTAAAATTTAAGCAATTCGCAACTTTTGTTGCTACAAACTGCCCAATTATAATCTTCAATTATAATCTTACTAGACTGATATAAGATTATAATTGCCAAATATAATCTTATATCAGTCCCATCACTTTCACAATTCCCTTCACTTTCTTGTAACCTATATCAAAACAAACGCCGACTAGACTATATGTAGATCCGTGTAGACCCTCACATCCGAAGATCCTGGGTTCGAATCCCGGACAAAGTATGGATGTTTATTTCATTCCCTGTATTGTCTGTGTTTACTGTGAGAGCAACGTTGACCCACCTAATATAGTGCCCCTGAAAGAGTGGTCAGCATATCTGCCCTACTATCTGAGGAGTGTCAATCCGGTGGGCATTGGCAATATGAAAAATGCAATAAGGATTGGCAATATCAATATCGGTTGTGTGAGCAATATAAAAACAAACTGTATATTATTACCTTAAACTGAAATTGTTATATTTCTGCAATTTATTTAGATCATTTATATTCAGTTATGAAAAAAATGAATAACTTGTGGATAACTCTTCTTATGTGCGCCGTAGTGGAAATTTACGCTGCAGAAGACGCCGATCACGGTGAATATGGTAACAATAACTTATGGAGAAAGACAATATGCGGTAAGCAATTAATATACATAATACCCCATTTGTATACTGCAATATTCTGTTTACTTTCAAAGCAGTACTTGTAACTGAAAATAAATGTGATATTAATCACAAAACGAAGCGAATTACATAAAAATTACATTACATTATTTAAATTACAAATTATGCAATCTGAATAAGAATCTGTATAAAAAACATTATGTTTATTTGTAGAAAATTTAATTTTGATTGTAGAATGGGTGAATAATTATATTCATGTTATATTGTTCTCTTAGATCTGAAAAGCAGAATTAATATTGTAATAATAATCATTAACGTTATTAATATTTAAATAATAAATGTAATAATCGAAGGATTGTCTTGTTTTAACTAATTTCAGCCAGGAAAAATTGCTATTAGAAATTCTAGAACACTATTAAAAAGTTGTATTGTGTTGAACCATGATATACTGCAATAAAGCTGCTGCCTTGAAGTGGTGCTAAGTTGAAGAATATTATCCTTCAAATTTGCCGCTACTTTGAAATGTTGCTGAGTTGGGCCATATTATCTTTAAATTTGCTTCCTTGAAATGTTGCAATGTTTAATCACGTTTACGTACAGTATGCGAAATAAAAACGGATTTTTTTATACTGAGACTTAATCTTAATGGCTCTAGGATCTGACTTCTGAATCAGACACGAAAAACATATCTCAAAAATAAGCAATTTTTTTGTCCCGAGAGCTGTCAAAAGATTGGACCCCTTAATGCTAATTTTGTTTTTTCCATTCTTCTCCATATCTTTAAAACTTTTTAAATGAATAGAAAAGTTTTTGCACACAATCATAAAATTTGTTTCACCAGAGATAATTCCCATACAAAAATACAATTTTTAATAATAATTTATGATTTCTTTATATCTTATTTAATAATGGTTGAAAAAATAATTTGAATTACAATGCATAAAATTTTTTATATCATTTTACAGAATATAGTTTTATGCAACAAAATACAAATTTGAACATAATCGAATGAAAAGTTAAGGTGAATTTAAATTTTAAGTCTAAATGTTTCTTTTTTAAATTGATAACTCAGGAATTATTTGACCGATTGCGATGAAAATATGGAAAAATTGCATGCTGCATAAGTCCACAGTTTTTTGAATATTATAATAATAAAATAATAAATTTTGTATTTCAATATGCAAAATTACATTTTTCAAAAATAAGTAAAAATTTTTATACCTTATAATTTTTGTCTGTTATTAAATAAACTAATAAAAATAATAAAAGTTTAGAAAAAAATTATGTATGGAATTATTTTTCGATAAATTGAATTTCAAAGATGTACGCAAAAGTTTTTGACTCGATTAAAATGTTCTCGAGATCTGAGAAAATATGCAATTGGCGCAGTATGTCCTTTTTTGGACCTTGTGCCACTAAACTCCACATTCAATTCAATTCAATTCAAATATGCACACAAAAAAAACTAACAGCAAGGGATCCAAACCTTCAACAGTTCTCATGATCTATGTGGGATCATGTTCCGTACTTTATTTTGCACAATACTTCCTAAACTTATTGCATGATATTATGATTATATTTAAATAAAATATTGATAGCCAAGTCCATATTAGTATCACAAAAAAGCTTTTCAACGATTCCTTTAAAGTACCGATGTTATGGTTAAACGTTAAAGGTTTCTATTGTAGAAAACAATCAAAATTTAACTTAAAATTCATCCAAGAAATTTATATTCAGTTGAAAATTCAATCTCTTAAACCATCAATTACTATGATGAATGCTGCAGTGATTTACATATCAGATATTTCTTTTTCTTTAGGGAAGAATGACGAATCTCTGTTTTCTGAAATAGATAAGTGCGTAGATTTACAAACAAAAACGGTGAGTTAAAAATATCTCAATGGTTGGTAATTTTNTATATTAAATAAACTAATAAAAATAATAAATGGTTGGAAAAAAAATTATGTATAGAATTATTTTTCGATAAATTGAATTTCAAGGATGTATGCAAAAGTTTTTGACTCGATTAAAATGTTCTCGAGATCTGGCGAAATATGCAATTGGCGCAGTATGTCCTTTTTTGGACCTTGTGCCACTAAACCCCACATTCAATTCAATTCAATTCAAATATGCACACAAAAAAACTAACAGCAAGGGATCCAAACCTTCAACAGTTCTCATGATCTATGTGGAATCATGTTCCGAACTTTATTTTGTACACTACTTCCTAAACTTATTGCATGATATTATGATTATATTTAAATAAAATATTGATGGCGAAGTCCATATTAGTATCACAAAAAAGCTTTTCAACGATTGCTTTAAAGTACTGATGTTATGGTTAAACGTTAAAGGTTTCTATTGTAGAAAACAATCAAAATTTGACATAAAATTCATCCAAGAAATTTATATTCAGTTGAAAATTCAATCTATTAAACCATCAATTACTATGATGAATGCTGCAGTGATTTACATATCAGATATTTCTTTTTCTTTAGAGAAGAATGACGAATCTCTGTTTTCTGAAATAGATAAGTGCGTAGATTTACAAACTAAAACGGTGAGTTGAAAATATCTCAATGGTTGGTAATTTTTTTATGTAAGATCTTACAGATATCATTAAAGTACAATATTTATTTTTTTTCAAGTGCAACAGAACACATACATTTTGCAGACATTTTCCAATTTTCTAATGGGAAAATCAAGCATAGGTGCCCCTTTAAAAGTGCATTACTGCGATTTTCCTCTTTTTAAATACAATATTAATTTTGCAATATATAATTTTAGATAAATATTTCTTTTCATTTTCATTTACAACTTTTTTTGTATAATTCTCAATTTATTTTAAATCGTGTCTCTTTTTCTTATATTAAAGCAAATATATTTTTTTGCAAGAAAACTTTCAACTTTATTACGTTTTCATATATTAACAAACCAACACAGTTTTTTGTGCAAAAATAAAAAATAAAAAAAAATTACCTTACGTTTGCAGTCTTATTACTTTGTTTTTTAACCTTACTTTTTTAATACTAGTTAAAATTATATCACATACAATTTAGGCTTATCATTAAGAAAATTATTTTTAAATTCAACTCCACTCGACTCAAATACAAATCACCTACTATTATACTTATAGATTAAAGTTTTCATTGATTTTAAATGAAATAAGCTATTAAAATATTTCTTTTAAAAGTAATTCAAAAACCTCATAATAAACTCCGTAAAATCACATTTTACATGCAAATATATAATATTCACTCTCGCAACTCAATCTGCCCAGTATGAGGATTAGATACGCGTGAGGCCTATTGCTTGATTGAGACAGAAACTAAGATTTAGCACCGTTAAAGAAAATTTTAAATTATCTTGTAATTTTGAACTCCCGGGCCTTCTTAAAGTGACGTTTTTTGGGATTTTTTGGGATATATACAATCTTTTATTTATTAAACATAGTTAATTTAAATGTCATTAGATATTTTTTAGATATTTTGAAGTATGAAATTGAAGATATTTTAAAAGGAAATTATTAAAATGAAAACTAGTGTTATTTCTGAAATGTATAGTCCAAAAAATATTTATCTCTCAAATCTTTACTAAAACTTTAAAATAATATTTTTGCATGAATAGTCAAGTTATTCGTTATAATTTTTATATTGAAAATTTTATTTTATTCATTTAGATACATGAGGCCTTAACAAGTTGTATGAAGAAGGTTCACCCATCTTCCGAAGGCAAATATTCACTGTATTTAAAGGAAGCCTGCAATAATGTGCCTCTATTTCTAAAGGTAAGGCACAATATTTTATGTTAAAATCTATATAATAATAAGACAGATCACCAACTTGTTTTAAATTTTTATTCATTCAATAAAATTCAATTGTTTTCGCACGATTAAAAAAACTTAAGAAACTGACATAATAATTTTTGATTTTGATTTTTTCAATATTATTTTTCTTTTGAAGACCTTTCTCATTAATATTCAACTTCTTCACTTCTTAAGTCAAGTTTTTCTGGCACTAAACTTATATTTAACCTGGTCACCTGATGCGTCACCTTGAAAAATGTATGGTCAAAATTATCAGAATATGGTAAAATTTACCGTGTTTCTGGCTCTATGAGAACGCTAAAAAGCACAGTACATTGTCCAAAGTTCATTCCTAATGGCTTAAGGCAAAATTAGCAATAAAAGATGGTTTTAATATCATGCTGTATGGGAATAAATGTAAAATGTGGCAATTTTATCACTATACCTTAGAGAGTGTCACAAAAAACATTTAATTGGTAAAATTTATTTTTCAATTTAGTATTTGTACTAAGTGTGTGCTGATAAAAACTTTCCTTTTTAAAGCCAAAATTTCCAGCAAATCATTCCCATTACAAGCGGTAAAATTACCAGATGAACCTTGATAAAAACTGTCATTCTGAAAGCCAAAATTTCCAGTAAACCATTACAACTACAAGCGGAAAAATTACCAGATGCACCTGGATAAAAACTGTCATTTTGAAAGCCAAAATTTCCAGTAAACCATTACCACTACAAGAGGAAAAATTACCAGATGCACCTTGATAAAAACTGTCGTTTTGAAAGCCAAAATTTCTGGTAAACCATTATCATTGTAAACGGAAAAATTGCCAAATGAATGGCTTAAATATTGTATATTTTAAATTCATAATATGAATTATGTTTCTTTTTGAAATCAAAATACCTCATCCTTTTACTATTAATTTTTTCACGTAAAAAAATAATTTAAAATTATATAAAAAACTGAGGCTTTTTGAACTTTCATATCTTTCTGAAATTCTCTAAAAAGTTTTGTTGTTTTTCTTTTAAATTTTAGAAATTTTCATTTTTATTATTTTGCTTAAGCAAGTATAACAAGCTTTATAAAATTAAATGAATGCGTTCTAAACCAGAACAATATTCAGATGAATTCTTTATGAATAAACCAACAATAAAAAATAGTGCGAATATGCTTTAAATGGAATACATATGCTCAAGATGTAACTAAATGTATCATTGGAAGAAAATTGAAATTATATACCCTAAACCCTAAAGCACTTACATTATATGAATGTAAATAGTTATCTAAATCTTGATATTTCTTTTATTTTAGATCGATGACTGTATGGAGCAACACAAATCCTTATATAAAGAGGTTAACTTCTTTTTACATCTTAATTAGTGATAATATTAAATTCTATAAATTTATTTATTTTCCATTTCAAGGCACTGCGTTAAATATTAAAGCTAGTATTTAACCTTCTTCCAAATTATTGTATTTCCTTTTTATTCTAGTTTTATTTTATTTGTGTTTTGTCTTTTCAATAAATATTTAGAGTTAATTTCTGGCCTCTCATTATTTATGTGAATTGGTAAAAATACAAATAAACCCAGACCTCCCCTGCAAAATACAATTTTGAAAACTATAATTTCCGACAAACCGTTACCATATGAACGGTAAAATTATGAGTGGTTTGAATACGGCATATTTTGATTTTATTATCTATAATTATGTTTTATCTTATTATTAATGTAATTACCATGCAGTGCGGTAATTTTAACATTTTGTTTTCTCCGTGAAGAAAAATAAATCCAAGCTATACTCTGTATTTTTATTATTTCTGCAAAGGACACATTTTATTATTTATGGATATAATTGTTTTAAATCTCTATGTTATTGATGGAAAAAAATATTATATTGTGATGAAATTTTTTTTCTTCTTTTAGGTGGGGATCGGAGAAAAAGCATTAGTAAGTACACAACTATACGATCAGAGGACAGAGTACAAGCATTAAAAACCACTATATACTCTAAATTAGCTCAAAACTTCATTTCAATCATTTCATTATTTTATTTTTTCTGCATCAAATTTAAAAAATTATTTTATTATAACCGCTTTCATTCACTGTAAGAAATATCCATTAAATTCACGGAATAAAACTGTCAGATGGTGTGCCAGTATAATACCGTTTACTTCGCAGAAAAATACTGTAATTTGAAACAGATTTTTTTAAGCAGATGGGTACTGGTATTTTAACAAACAAATTCCGTTATTTTAACAAGCCGACACTGGGATTCAAACGTAGGCCATCTCATTGGAAGGTGAGTGCTCGTTCTCCTGAGCTATCACAGTATGAAAAAATCCTAAACTATTTTTATGTTAAAAGCTTTACTTATTGGAACAATATTTAAGTATAAAGTTGCTTAAAACTATAGTAGCCTATCCGCATAAAAATGCCTGGCCTAATATCTGGCCACCCGTAAAAAAATAATTTACCCAAAAATTAGATCTAACAAGACATAATAATCAGGTAGAGTATCAGGTGCTTATTTAAATAATGTTAAAACCATTAAAATAACTGTTGTATAGTAAAATAAGAGCAAGTATTAGAAAAAATTTTAAAATGATTTGAAAAAGATAGATTATCGTATAGTAAACAAAACTGCGTGTCAAAAGCTAGAATTTGAACTAATCGCGATTAAAACAGCTTTAACAGACAGATATTTAGAGAAAGTCTGTAAAAAAGTCGATAATTTTTTACAGTGCAGTTATTATGCACATACGAACATAGAACGCATGAAATATTATCAATTTTTATGCAAATTTTATCAAATAGCATCTAATTAAACGCATCAAATTTCAACTCTTTTGCTGTTTTTTTGAAGGATTGTAAAATGGCCTGCTTGATAATTTTTAAAAGTTCACAAGTTTCTCAAGTTTAGCAATTTAAAATTTTTTAATTTTAAATTTTTTTCAAAACATTCTCTCTTTTTCTATATATCTTCGTAATTTCACGTTATAATTTTTATAATTTCTGCATAGCGAAACAAAATGTAACGTAAAGTTGGGCAACCGAAATAGCAACGAAAATTCTTATGTTACTGATCAATATAGTTCAACATAGAAAGATATCAGAAAGCTTTGATTTATTTTCATTTATTTTGCTCCATGGTATCGCACTTAATCTATATTTTTTCATGCAGAAGATTTTATTTTTATATTTTCTCCATTCTTTAATGATAAGTTGTACAAATTCTTGTTTAAAGCTTTATTATGTAATTCACGTAAACTTTACCAGATCTTTAAATGTTTTGCAAATAAAAATTGCATATGATTTTGCAATAACATAACGTCATGCAGTATCACACAGAAATTTCTTTAGCAGTTAAATTACTGTAATTTTGTTACTAAACTTATAGCTGATACAATGTCTAGCTTCTAATAATGTCAGTATTTTTAAAATAGTTTTAAATAATAACTCTATCAATAAAAAAGAACTCAGATTTAACTTAAGCATTATTCAGAATGTTTTTTTAAGAATATGCAATACTTAATTTATGTCTCATTATCCATGATAAATTAAGAAAATTGTTTTTATTTACTTCATATTAGTGACAGTTAAATTTAACTGGGTTTTCATTATTATTGAGAGTCTTGCCGTCGAAATTTGTTATTGTACAGAGCTCAAAATAAAAAACGGATCACGTAGAATAACTTTTGATTTATTGATCGAAACTTCCCATTCTAGGACTCGATTTTAATGGTTTGAGTGCGTGACCTCAAATATGCTACTTAACTAAGTTTGTACCCCGTAATGTTAATTTTACTTTTTACCTATTTTTTTCCAGTTCAAAAGCTTTTTATGCGAATTGATACATTCTTGCACATAATTAAAAAATTCGTTTATCCAAATACATTTTAAAGCAAAAAATAAATTTTAGTAATATTTGTTATTTTATGCTATAATAGTTGAAAATATTTTGAATTGTAAGATAGACAAATTTTTATACCATTTTAAAGAATGTGATTTTGTATGGCAAACTACAAAATTTGAGCGAAATCAGTTGAATAGTTTCTGAGAAATCGAATTTTAAAGCCCTATTTTTAAAATTCATTCTCATTAACTATTCGACCAATTTCGCTCAAATTTTGAATATTTTTTACAATGTACAATTACATTCCTTAAACTGATGTAAAAAATTTTATGCCCTGCAAGACAAAATTTTGTCAACACTTTTTAAAGAAAATAATAAAAAAATGTATATTTGCTAATAGCTTTTTTTAAAGGAATTATCTTTAGATATAAAATTTTTATAATTGCGAGCTGAAATTTTTAAATTCACTTAAAAACTTCTCGAGATATGGCGAACTATGCAAAAGATGAAAAAATAACATTAAGGAGTGTAAACTCCGGACATATATCCCAAATTGATATCCTCCAGACAAAAATGTATTTCCCAGATTGCGGCTACCCCCTATATTTCGGAGATCAGAAATCCAATTCAACTATAAAAAAATTATGTTTATTTAGAAGAAGTACGTAACTAAAAATTTTGCTTGCCTATTTAATTAGCATATTGGCCACCAACTCAAATCTATGAGATTAAGTCCTAGAACGTTAAGATCTAAGCATTAGATCAAAAGTTATTTAGTTCGTTTTTTATTTTACGCGCTATACAATAATAAAATGCTAAGAAACATGGTCAAAAAAATCTACCAATCTAACTTTTAACTTCTAAAAGGTTAGATACTAAAGATGAATTTGGAAGTTTACCTTAGTCTACGAATAGAATGCTTTTTTAAATGTGAATAATATACTGTTTCAAAATGCAAATTGCTCTGTAATCGACACCTTTAATGTATACTTTCAGAATTCTTATCAAATATGCAATCAAAAAATATCCTCATAGGGATCACGAACTAATAAAAAACACTCCAATTGTTAAAAACACTTTCTTCCACCTTCCTACGTCAATTAAACAGGTTTAAATGCTTAAACTATTCCACTTGCAAATCCTTGCTAATATTTCATCAATTCTTGGGGGATATTTCAATATCGGGATTAGTCATGACTATGAAGAGGTTAGCCGAGTTAAACCTTTCAAGTTGGTCCCCTTGTGTGATTTTTTTGCCCGGAAGTTGCCAAGACTTGGAGAGTTTTATGTCACAGATTACGATACGGGTATCTTCCCAATTTTTGAAAACGTTCTTCTTATTTAAAGTACTACTCTGCGACTTTTATTAATATACTTATGACTTAATTTCTAGTGGAAATTCTAAAGGTATAAAGGTGGTGGTTACGGAGCAAACTATTAAACTTCATTATGTTTTGTAAAGTATTATTTTTTCTTGCATAGGCTTGCCTTGAAGAAACGATGAAAAAACACAACTTGAGGGAATTGCTGGAGTACTATATCGACACAGAATCTACTGAAAAATGATTTAAGCATCAGTTAATTTTACTTATCTTAAGGGAATAAAAAAATGTACCACTAATATTAATGATGATAACAAATATTTCTTCTCAAGACAAAGCTGACATTTTAGCATTAAAAAGGCTTTGGTGACCTGTTTCTGTCACTAAATTAGGCAACTCTTAGAATTTAGAAACAATCCATGTTGAATATAGATAATTAGAAACCAGAATTCACAACTTACTTTCATCCTGAATCAATGGATGGTACACTTTATGTAAGGTTTCTTAATCTAAACGAATAAGGAGAAAATTTTTAAATGAGTCGAAAAATTAGAGTACATTTACTATAGAATAACAATACTATAGAATTAAATGTAGCAATTATGCATTAACTGGTGGCCATTTTATTTTTTTTTGGTATTATGAATTTAAAGGATTTTTATGTTTTCACTTCAAGTTAAATTCTCCATAATTGATTCTTTCTAATTAAATCCTTTATAATTACTATAATTCATTAGAATTCGTATTTGTTTGATGTGTGATATGTATGCCAACTTGTGTTGGAATATTGCACATCGCATTATAAATTATGCTGAAAAGTTAGCCTTGTCACATTTATAGTACATATTAATTTTTTAAAAAAATGCAATGTATGCTGAATGTAATAATAAAATATGTATTTATAATTTCCCAATCATTTTTTATTCGTCTTAATAAATGATCTAAAAGATCTTAATTATTTTAACAGAAACACTTTCTATCGGTCGTGAACTATTGAAAATCGAAAATTGCTTTCGACACGTGAAACTTTTAATTCGCATATTACGAAAATTTAAAAAAAAAAAAACAATTAGATTGCATTAATAAACAGTTGCATAGTTTTAGAAACATGTTTTACCATTCAAACAAAGTGAACCATCTAGTGCCCTGTGCATCCTAATAGCATGAATCAATGAAAACACGAAATAAATAGTAGAGTCTATATTTGTTTCGGAGTCTCTATATTTGTTTCGGAGCTATTTTGGCACATTTTTGATTAATTTTGAGAACTCCTTTTCAGCAGTGTAGTAAAAAATATGGCTATTAAAAATCTTTTTTTCAAACATGATGCTTATTATTGTAGTTTTCATATTTTATGAAAGATATAAAATGTAATTCCCTGACTCGCTGTCGCTCGAAAACTGCTATGATAAAATTACAAAATAACTAGCGAGCTGCACCAGCTACTCAATTTCCCTTTTTCTATTAAAAGTGAACTGTTCCAAATCTTTCGCAGGTATGTATGGGTAAGTTGGTAAGAACTAAAACCTAATTGATAACGGAAGAAAACTAAACGGAGGTTATAAATGATTATTACATACATTTTCAAGTTTCATACTACAACTGAACTGGTTTTGAGTGGTTTTTTAGCCAACTTATCTAGTAGTTTTAAGTCGGATTTTTTTTTTAAATAGTAAAATTTCGTTTCGATGATATTTTTTTCTGATTTAAATAATAATTTTAAGTTTAAGTATGCATACTTACAACTATTATAAACTAATAAATTAAAAGCGGGCATACTGAAACATCTTTTTTTTTTGTATATAAGCGGAACTGTGTTCTGCGAATGTGAACTTATGCGTCTATTTCAGATGGGCGGAAATTTTATTTTTTCGGATAAAAAGACCGATTAGACAAAACAATCATGGATAAAAGGATAATTAAACAAATATTGTCATTAATTCATTACTCTGTCAATTTGATTAATTAAAAAAAAATTTTTTATTTCTTTCAATTATATTTCAATCAATTATCTCTCAATTATATTTCAATTATTTTTCAGTTTTACTTCAATTTGTACCTATTACAAAAATCAATTAATCAAAATGGTGTCAATAATAATTTATCGATTTAAGTTTCTTCTGAACGAGTAATCAACTTTTCCCCATTAACTTTGCTCTTTGATACATTACTTATATTTATATTTCAATTTCCGTTGATTTTAAATTATTTGGTTGTAAATAGACGTGTCTTAAAGCCACAACTTGAAACTAAATAAAAAGCTCGCGGAAATACTATGGAAGAGCCACCTATGCAACCACGTTCATGCTGATCATTGAGTTTATCTGACATAAGGAATAAAAAATACTAGTGGGCTGAGCCCCTTGCTCGCTAGCGCTCGCCAACACCCGAAAATTGCTACGCAATCTTATATGGTTTGCTTCGCAAACCAAACTCGCTTCGCTCGCTACTAACTTAAGTACGTTCAAATGCACAAAATTTTAAGAATTCAAATCCATATAACAACTTTTTTTCAAAAAAATTTACATCTTTTTAGTAAATACTAAGTCATTAAAATAAATTTGAATTAAAAAAAAACTCATTGACTGAGACTCGGTTTTCAATGAATAACTAATAACAATAATAAAACAAATAAATTCGTGATATAAATCAAAAATCGTCAAATAAATTCATAATACATAAATTCGTGAAAAAAAGCGCTTTCGACAAAATACTAAAATAGAGATCTATGGGCACAGACTACTCACTTCTGCCTAGCTTAATAGTATGAGATTGCAGCAGCTGAATTGTTATTTCAGTTTCCGCTTTTAAAAGCGCTATAGGTTGAGCCACCTCAACTAGATTTGGCATGTGACATTTTTAACTGCAATCATTGGTCAATTTTCTAGCGTTGCCATTCGGGGAGTTGTAATGAGGCTTTTTTTTGTCGCCGTGTAAGAGAAATATATATATAGATATTGAAATATTAAAATACTTGAAATAAACTCTTTTTTAGAAAACAATGATAGCTATAAACCATCAAACACCATAGACGTCTTTAAAATACTTCTTGAAACCGAATCACTCGTAGTTTAATTTGAAACAATGGCTTACTCTAAGCCAATGAGAAAATTCTATTTCTCATTTTTTTCATTAATTTTGTTTTTCAGTGCAACATTTTATATTTTTATTTCAATTACCATTGATTTTATATTATTTGGTTTCATAGAAACACGTTTTAAAATCTCAACTATAAGCAAAATAAACAAGAGGATAAAATACTAATTAAAGGGCATAGTAAATCTCTATTACCACAATCATGTTGATCGTTGAGTTTATCTGACATAACGAATAAAAAAAGTTAAATATTAATGAACTTGCAGGAATCTCCCTTTTTTCATTAACGAGAGTTATAAGCTAGCAAATATCACTGATATTACCTGATTAAAAACTTCATTTGCTCCAAAAATATATAAAAAAGGAAACAACAGTCGAAACGTTTCAAACGCTCAAAAATAGGCGTCCATTTTCAAAACTTCCCAGACTTCTATTTTTGAGCACTTGAAACATGTCGACTGTTGTTTTCTACTTTTTGAAGCGAAAGAAGTGTATAATCATGTAGCATTTTGCCGCTGAAGCTTTTTGAGACTATTTATTTAAAACATCACTGATGTTATCTTTAAAATATTTCATAAAACCGAATGGCCAATAGTTTAATTTTAAACCACGGCTGATTTTAACCCAATAGGAAAATCCCGAACAGTTTATTATCTAATTTTAGGACTTTTAGGATAGGAAACTAAAATGCCTCTTTTTTTCATTGTCTTAAAATTTTGACAAAAATTAAAAACTCTAGGTTCAGGAGGTATATGATAGACACACAGACAAAATCTTCATACTATTGTTATTGCTAAATGAGCTTTAAAAGAGCTTAACATCAAAAATGTCATGATCAAGATAATCATTATCCTTTCTGAAAACATGCTATAGATATCTAAAATACGCAATTAATGAATTTAAATTTGTTGAAGAATTTGTAAAAGACTTCCGATCCATAATTATAAGAAATATTGGGATTTTTTTTAATTATACTGAATATGTTTATATTAACAAGTTTAATAGTATAAAATGTAAAGTATTTGTTAATATTTTATATGTTTACATTGTATGAAAATGGTATAATCACGATGCTTTGTATGCTTGGTAAAGATGCTTAAAATCACAGTAATAACGATTTAAAACATTATAATTTCTTGAAGAAGGGAAAACAACGATATCACCAAAATTCAAAATATCACCAATGGTCAGCACAGTTTTGTACAGTGTTACCACTTTTCGTGAAAGATACCATAAAGTTAACTGAAAGTAATGAAAAAACAAAAAACAGTAAAATAAAATGAAAATAATTAAAGATATAACCTAGGCAGTCTATCGCTGTTTGTAATTTTTGGGATCGTAACTGGCCTTAAAATATTAAATAAATATTTGAATAAAATATAAAAATAATGAAGAAAAACAATAAAATATTATTATTTTTTATTTAATATGACCTATTATGTAAGTAAGAATGACTCGAATAAACTTAACAAGTACAAATATGTTAAATATGCCCTTAACGTGTCTGTAAGATATATAGTAATTTCTTGCTGTAACGATATTCAAATCATGAAGCAGTTTGATTCATTACTTAAAGTGTTCAAAGTTTTAAATTTACTATTTCCTTTCCAGTATTTGTGACAATTTTGTAATAGTCTATAATCTTTTCAAAAATTGCATGGCATATTTCCGTAAACGCGAAGAGTTTGATAATGACTCACTGAACCGTGAATACATTGTCAAGGCTGAAATTGGTGAATTATCTAGGAGAGAAAAAATTGCTTTACACGCTAACAGGGAAAATCATCCAATTTTCTGCATCGCTGAATTTTCATTATATTCACTATAATAGATCTAATATGAATAAAATTGTTATTTTTGTTACCAAAAGTGTTTATTTTTGGAGTATAAACTACGCAATTGTTTCTTTTTTTAATGAAAAATGTATTGTTTCTTAGATATAAGGACGGAATGACATTGAGGGATTGTAATTAAACTGTATTACAATATTATTCAAATCTTTCTTAAGATAGACAATTTTCATGTTAGCGTCATGTCTTAAATTTTAAAGTCTATACGGAAATTTTAGGAAAAATAAATACTTTAAAAATATTTTTGACTTATTTTCCTTAATCAGTTTGGTTACCAATAAGCTAGTAAGTATCAAAATATTGTAAGTATCTTTTTGAGATTTTAGCAACTTCCAGATTATAAGAAAACATTATGCTTAGGTAAAATATTTTTTACCTAAGCTTGCTTTATGCTTAGGTAAAATATTTTTTTATAAAAATATATGTCTAAATTGTGTAAAATATATTTAGTTATTACACAAACAAATGAAACTATGCACATTGTAAATTGACTATTTAATTAACTAGCAGTCATTTGGCATTTTGATCTTGGCAGTTTTTTAAATTATTATTTTTACTGTATAATGCAAATTTCGAAATTAGCATGCAATAAGTATCTATTATTCATCACAAAATTAAATGGGATATAACATTAATTGCCAAATACAAATTGCATAAATTATTGTAGACACTACCTAATGGAAGAGACACTTTCAGTTTTAGACATTTTTTGAAATTTCCCAAAAATTATTTTGAAGATTATATTATAACTTATACAGGTTTTTAGGCCATGTAATTTCAGATGCTATCATTAAATTTTAAAACTTTCTGAGATTTGAAGAGGCGACAATAAATTACAATTAAAAACCAGCATTTTTAAACACCCTATGGCAAGAAAAATAACAATAAATTTTTAATTTTTATCGATCATTTTGGATGTTATTTGCACTAATTGCATACAATTTGGTAAACTTAGCTTAAATATTTATGGAAATATTAACAGTTTTATAAAAAATAATTTTTTGTCTTAAGTTTTTCTACTATAACTTCAAATATATTCATTAAAATTCAACAAAATATTTGGAAAAATTTTGACCAATAACAAAATTTAATTTTAAAATTCTAACGAAATTCAATAGAAATAGCGCTAGGTGTGAGAACTTCAAGTAATTCTTTCATACTGAGCATGCACAAATTTGTTTTTGTAATAAGTAATGAATCAAATTTAGTAACTTATAAAAAATACTGATTTAAATATCTCAAAAGTTGAAAAGTTTTAAGCTATTTTTCGAAGTAGTTTTGTACTTTTTAAATGATTTCTTTAAATAATAATGGACTTTTTTCAATTTTGTTTACAATAAACAAATTTTTTTTAATTACAATTGTACTATGAATTAAGTTTAGTTAAAAATTACTTTGATATTGTGAGGCATTATTTCTCGTAAAAGTATGTGTCATTTCCTTATATCATTTCATTTAACTCTAGAAACGATTATTGTAAGGGATTATCATTTGCTATTAAATTTTATTTTATAATACGAAATGAAGTTTGAGGAACAGCCTTTATAATTTAAAGCGCGACTTTGAAGGATACAAAAAAGTAATTAGAAAATTGCGGACTTTATTTTTTAATTTTAAATTTTTACTTAACTTTTAAAACTTTCAAGATATTAAAATCGAACTTTTTTCATTAGTTATCTAATGCGATTAACTACAAACTTTTCCAATGCGGTTATCTAGTTATCTAATGCTATTAACAACAAACTTTTTATTAGTTATCTAAAAACGATTAACTTTTTCTGCGCACGCGGAATAGGAAAGAACTCCTTTAAATAGTTATATCTTGAACTACTTTTGACATAAATTTTTTTCTCATTTTAAAATTATAATTTTGTAATGAATTTAAAAATTCTCCAAAAATTATGTTTAATTTTTTAGAAGTTATTTGAAGATATAGCAAAAACACATAAGACCAAAATATTATTTTTTTTCATAAACAAAAATGTCCAAATCTGTTTAAATACATTAGCTTGGTGTACGAAATTTTATGCGGTTATTGCAAACAACAATCACAGCAATCGGTACATATAACAAGTTAATTGTTATATTTTCTGACACAGGGGGGGGGGGGTTCGAAGATTTTTTTTCTTTCATAATTTACTGGTTCCTCATACCTCGGTAATTTATGCATTTTAAACTTTAACGAAAAGTATGATTAATCGCAGAGGTGTTAACCTCTGAAGTTATAAAATAATTCTATAAGTATTCTTTACAAAAATTAATAAAAATATTAGAAACTTGTGTTCAAAAGTGTTTAATTAATGTATCTTCCAATATTGTATAGTAGTATATAATGTAGAATCAACTATTGTACATTATGTAGTCCTAATTACTGTGATATAATATATTATTTTATAATACTATTATGTAGAGTCATTCAGGAATAATATGAAACATTGTTAAATTGTATTTAAAATTTCAACAATTTTTAAACATGCGTGTATATATTTTATTTCAATGTTTACATACTTTACGAGAATTTTTTTTAACTTATTAACAATTTTGTGACAAAATTTCCTTCCTTAGAAACGTAGTTAAATTTACTTAACTAAATAACTTATAATTGTTGAGTAGTTAATATCGTGCATATTTAAACCATGAAATATGTGTGCACATCTTAGTTATAGGATTATTGTTCATCTTTTAGGTTCCATATGTAATTATTGAACTTTCCCTTTATTAAAACTCGATTTAAAAAGAGTATGTTAAATATTCTTAACTGCAAAAAATTTTAGACCAAATTACGGTAAAATGTTCTATTACCCTGAGTACTGGCACTTTTTACAGTAAAACTCATTTATGCAATGAACTTTTACGAAATAAAAAAATTTGATGTAACACAATTTTTACAGTATTACTGAGACACTGTAATTAAATAAATACTGTAAAAATAACGTTATAAAATATTTTTGTAAAAACGGATATTGCTGTAAAATGACTTTTATGTCTACTGTACTCAGGGTGACAGTACATTTTTACTGTAATTTAAATAGGATTTTTTTACAGAGTACTCTTGTAAGGGTGTGCTGTATTTCGTGTGTTTTGAAACATAATGTCGAATTGAAATCCTGAGTTGAAATATTACAGTTAATAACGTTTTACAACAAATATTACAAATTATATTTGCAGGTTTTTGTGAACTTAAAATGAGGAATTTAATTTTGATCATCACTTTATGCACCTTCGTTGCGGCAGATCAGTTTAACGATGCTTGGAAGAAAGCAACCTGTCGTAAGTTGTTCACACGCTAATGCCATAATTAAAGCGTCTTGTTTAAAATAGATTATGAGTTTGAAAATTATATATTACAATTTTATTTTGTTGTGAAACTAACCTGCAGTTGCGTTTATATTTTGTACTCTTATACTGTGGATAATTTTTATTAGATATTTGACATAAGTACTCAAGTACTATAAATTATGCTCAAAACTACTAGAATATGGAAAATTTTACCTTGTTTCTGACTCTATGGGAACGTCTAAGGGATCAATATTTTTTACTGAAGCGCTTTAGCAATGATTTAATAAAATAAACAACTAAATTTAGTTTCGTAAACTACATACATAAAAATGGATGTTTATCTGTGTGTGTGTCCTTTATTATCTCCTAAATCAATTAAACGAAAACAATGAAATTTTAATTGATTGTTTAGAATGCCTGGCATTTTCAGCAGAATGTAAAATGTGAGAATTATTATATACTATTTTGCTCATTTATTGCCTAAAATATCGAGGAATATTATTGCATAAAATATCTGTACACATCATATACTATGAAAAATGCACTTATTTTTTAAATTATTTTTATACAATGATAAATGCACAATAAGGAAAATAAAAAACAATTATATACAATTCACCAAATCACTGTATAGAATGCGTGTAGTTTTCATAAGTATCTTTTCTATTTAATTCTTGGGCAATGTGTTAAATATTTATCAAATTCCATTGAATAACAGATTTCATACAGGGGCATTAACTTACAAACAAAAACTGTTGAGGAATTGAGATATATTTTTAAAACATGACTATACTACAAAAAATTCCGGTTTATATTATGGTAAAGATACCGGCTCTTTGAGAGCAACATCCACAAAATCCATTTTTATTTTAAAATAATACCGTGATTTTTAATTAGAATACTTCAACGATTTTACTGTTATTTTTGCTGTAAAAATTATGGATGAATTATCAGATTTTTTTCATAACAAGCTCCGGTAAAAATAGATTTTACGGTTCAATGAATCAGCACCCACATTCCCGGTACATTTCATCGTAAGTAGATCCGGAATTTTTTTTACTGTATATTTGATCAAAATTAGCATTATTGTATGTCACTATATTTAGTATCACTATAATTAAAAACCTCTATTTATTTAAATAATTCTAAAAAATATGTTTTCAAAGATTTTTACCAATATTAAATCAATTAAAAAAGTTTACTGTAAAAAAAGAAAAAAAACTATTAAATTAATTATTTGGACAGATATTCACACTTTTTTTAAGAAGTCTTAAAAAATTACTTTTCTTTTTACTTTTAGAAAAAAATGTTGAGTTTTCAAAAGGTTTAGCAGTATGTTATGAACTAAAAGACAAGGAAGTGAGTATTATGACATCATCTCTTGTACTTTATTTACATTTTTGCTTGAATCTACAATTTATATCTTCATCTAAACTATATTTTAGCACTTCTTCATCATCGTTGTTGCATCCCTCTTACTCTAGGAAGGATTCTTTTAAATCACTTTTTTAGTTTTCCTAGCAGTCATAGAAGTACTTTTTCTGTTAACGACACTTTTCGCAACGTTTTTTGGCTAATTTGAGAACATTCTTTTTTAAACTCATTTAATAATGTAAATTGTTTTTTAACTGATAACTAGCCAACGTGCAAAAAAATAAACAAAATACTCGGAATAACTCAATTTTACTGGTTCCTGGGTATAGCGACCAATATGCTAATTAATTATTACAGACGATATTTTAAATTATGATATCAAACAAAAAAACGAACTTTTCATGAATAAGTATACTTTTTTTGACGGATTTGGCCCCTAAATTATTGGGGGTCACTGCAATCTGGGTAATATGGTCTCAATAGTTTTTTTCAGAAAAGCAGTGCAAAATGTTGACCTTTTTATAATATTTATTTATTTACTTGTTGTTGCGTGTTTCGCGATACCAAGAGAATTATCTAAGTGAAATATTTAATTGTAAAATTCGCTTATCCAAATATAAGTCCATGCAAAAAATAATTTTTAGTATTTATTTAATACATTTTATTATTTTATTTTATAATGATTAAAGCCTTTTGAGTTGTAATATGAGCAATTCTACAAATAAACGCCAATTTGACGGCCAATAAAAAAATAAAAAAAATTTGGCGGGGCACACTATTTCTACTTGAATTTTCTTCTTTTTTACACCCTACAAAGGCAGGAAAAAATCGTGAACATGAAATTTTTTCTTTGTGACATACTTTAAATGACAAAATACCAATTTTCAAATTTTCCCGATTTTTCATTTTTCGAACTTTGATTAAGTTTTTTTATTTTTGTTTTTTATACTAAAATATAATCTTATAGTATGAAATCTCTATAAATACATTTTAGAGAGACATTATAATAATATTATATTTATGTAAAGGTCGTTTTACCTGAATAAATGTGTCAGATAAAAGCCTCATTTTAAAAACGAAATTTATGACACATTTTTTGCATCTAAGTAATTAATATGTTTGTTGTTGTTGTTGTTTGTTGTCTTTGATGGCTATAGAGGACATAGCTTCAATCCTCTGCTCGCCACTAGCTAAAAACAACTTGAAGAACAAAAAAAAGGACTAATTTTTGGAAAAGTAAATTTTTACACAGAGTAAATTTTTGAATATGAGAAAGAAAAACAAATGTCTTTTTCGAAGTGTATCGTACGCCACGAATACTGTGAAAAGTATAAAGCATCAAATTTCTCAAGTTCAAACCAAAAGTAAAAAAGAATTACTTGCATCTGTTTTTTCAAATCATTTGTCTAATGAAAGTCGTGCTGTAGATAAAGACTTAAGTCTTTATAATCATCATTATTCTAAAAAATTTAAGAATGAATCGTTTGAATCAGTCGAGGCGGTTGCAAAAATGCAAAGTGAAAAGAGTCGTAATTTAAAAGCCGATGTGACTAATTTTTATTTACGAGATGAAAATTCTTCATTAGCTCCCGGCGCTAAAGACTTTATTACAAAAAATAAATTGAAAATGCGACGACGTTACTTGGCTGATACCATTTGTATTTTATATAAAAAATATTATTCTGAATCGAAAAATACAATTTCTAGAGCTTTGTTCTTCAAACTTCGACCGTTTTATGTAATGAACCGCAAAATTACCGCTCATGAAACTTGTTTATGTAAAGAGCATGAAAATTTTAAACTTATGTTGGAGAAATTACGCTTTCATGAAATTGTAAAAGTTGAGAATGTAAAAGAATTTATAAAATCTATTTGTTGTGATGATACTAGAAAAAAGTGTATGTTTAAAGAGTGTGATAAATGTTCTAATTTTGAATTACCAAATATAACATCCGAAACTATGACATGGGAATGCGAAAAAATAACACGTAAAGGAGCAAAAGATTTAGTGTATAACGTTAAAGTGACATTTAAGAAAAAAATAAGCTGCACTATTACCAATTTGATAAAAAAATTCAATGAAAAGATACCTAAATTTTTGATTCATGCGTATAGAATTTCACATCAATTTACAATTTTAGAAAAGTTAAAAAACAATTTGCAAAAAAATGATGCTCTTCTTGTTGTTGATTTTTCGCAAAATTATAATTGTAAATATGATGAAGAGATTCAAAGTGTCCATTTTGGTGCGACAAAGAAACAAATTTCTTTACAAACCGGTGGTCTTTATATAAAAAATGATTCTGATCAAGTTACCTTTGAATCGTTTTGTTCAATTTCTGAATGTTTACGTCACGATGCTTCTGCAGTTTGGACTTTACTTAAACCTGTATTTCAGAAACTTCGTACTTGTAACCCAGATATTAGTACTATTCATTTTCGAAGTGATGGACCCACAACACAGTACAAGAATAAAACTAATTTCCTTTTGTTCAATCATTTCTGTAAGGAACTGAATTTAAAAAATGCTACATGGAATTTCACTGCTGCTGGCCATGGGAAAAGCGCTGCTGATGGAATCGGTGGAAACGTTAAAGCAATGTGTGACACAGCTGTATCATGTGGCAAGAGTGTTCTTTGTGCACAAGACATGGTTGACATTATTAAAAGTAAAGATACTATAATTACACCATTCTTAGTAACTGAAGAAGATATGAAATTAGTAGACAATTTAATACCAGAAAAAGTGACATCAGTGCCTCAAACAACTGTTGTGCATCAAATATTCTGGACAAGATCTGAAGAAAGTCAGCTCAATTTTCGATAATTGTCTTGCGATTTATGTATTTTGAATGGTCATTGCGATCATTATGGCCTCGAGAAAAGTACAACAAAATATACCGAAACGGTTTCCAATGAACTTGTGGACGCTGTAAGTAGCTTAAAACTTACCCCAGAAACTTATGCTGCAGGTGATTGGATTGTAGTCATTTATGATAAATGGTATCTGGGAAAAATAGAAAAAATTCAAAATAGTATTTTGACAGCTAATTTTTTATCTAGAAAAAGATGTGTATTAACATGGCCAGCAACACCTGATATTCAGGATGTCTTACCGGCGCAAGTACTGTGTAAAATTCATGCTCCATATGAAGAAAAAATGAAAAATAAAAGTACTTTATGTTTATCCGATACCGAGTTTAAGTCAGTTCAAAAAGCAGCCAAAAATTGCATTATCTATGATTAATTTATAATAATTTATTCACTTATATGTAAATATTATTTATTGTAAATAAAATTTTTATATAACTGAAACAATTACATATTACAAGAATTTTGAATTTAGCTTTATTATAGTAGCAAAATTTCATAACAATTAATGCAAATTACTAAATTCAATGAAAAAAGAACAGCTAGGTTCGAACACTATTATAAATTAAAATTTAATTGAAGCTAAAGTAAGTCATTATTTTTATTTTATTTCAAATAAGGAAATGATAATGTCTAAATAACATGTATTTATATAGATTTTATACTATAAGATCATATTTTAGTATGAAAAACAAAAATAAAAAAATTTAATCAAAGTTCGTAAATTGAAAAAATCGGGAAAAATTCAAAATTGGTATTTTGTCATTTAAAGTATGTCACAAAGAAAAAATTTCATGTTTAATATTTTTTCTTGCTTTTTTAGGGTATAAAAAAGAAGAAAATTCATGTAGAAATAGCGTCCCCCCCCCAAAAAAAAAATTTATTTTTGTTTGGCCGCCTAATTCGCGTTGATTTGTAGAATTGCTCATATCGTCGCTTTGAAACAAAACCGTAAAACTCAAAAAAATCGAAAAATGAGATATTTGGGTCACTTTGTGTAAAAAAAATCACCCTTTTAGAGAAACAAAGTATTATCTTCATAGTTCAATAAAATTAATTTAGAGAGCAGATAAATCGTTATCGCATTGGCGCGATCAGCATTAACGCAGAAAGTTAGAAATTGCTCTCCTGAAAAATTTGCTTTTTTGAGTTACCACGGTTTAGTTTCAAGGCGACGATATGAGCAATTCTACAAATAAACGCCAATTTTTATACTAAAATATAATCTTATAGTATGAAATCTCTATAAATACATTTTAGAAAAACATTATAATAATATTATATTTATGTAAAAATCGTTTTATCTGAATAAATGGCTCAGATTTATCTGAGTATGTCAGAAAGAGTATGTCGCATTTAAAGTATGTCACAAAGAAAAAATTTCATGTTCACGATTTTTTCCTGCCTTTTTAGGGTGCAAAAAAGAAGAAAATTCAAGTAGAAATAGATGCCCCCCCCCCAATTTTTTTCTTGGCCGTCTAAGTGGCGTTTATTTGTAGAATTGCTCATATAAAATTAGCTAGTGGCGAGCAGAGGATTGAAACTATGTCCTCTATAGCCATCAAAGACGACAACAAACAACAGCAACAACAAACATATTAATTTCTTATATGCAAAAAATGTGTCATAAATTTCGTTTTTAAAATGAGGATTTTAACTGAGCCATTTATTCAGATAAAACGACCTTTACATAAATATAATATTATTATAATGTCTCTCTAAAATGTATTTATAGAGATTTCATACTATAAGATTGTATTTTAGTATAAAAAACAAAAATAAAAAAACTTAATCAAAGTTCGTAAAATGAAAAATCGGGAAAAATTGAAAATTGGTATTTCGTCATTTAAAGTATGTCACAAATAAAAAATTTCATGTTCACGACTTTTTCCTACCTTTTTAGGGTGTAAAAAAAAAGAAAATGCAAGTAGAAATAGTGTGCCTCAAAAAAAAAATTTTTTTTTTGACCGTCTAATTGGCGTTTATTTGTAGAATTGCTCATATGTACAAATTTTCACAATACATTAAATGATGTAATTGCGTATGCTAAGTACAAAATTTGAACAATATTGACCAAAAAGTTCCAAATNTGTTACCTTGATTAAAGCCTTTTGAGTTGTAATATGTACAAATTTTCACAATACATTAAATGATGTAATTGCGTATGCTAAGTACAAAATGAGAACAATATTGACCAAAAAGTTCCAAATAAGTAGAATTTACTAAAAAATCAAAAAAAAAAAACTCAACTTTTCAGCACATATTTAATATTTGATTCACCAGCGCAAATTTTTGAAAATTTTTAATTTTAATTTTAAACATAAATATGATGAAATTAAACTTAAATATACTAACATTCGTAGTTGTATTCGCTTAAATATTTAATGAAAACATAATAATTGTATAATTTACACAATTATAAGAAGCATAATTTTCTGTTAGATGCTGGTTATCGCAAATTTAATAACGTTATTCTTCAATCTTTTCTACAATATCTCATTTAATGTCTTGTTGAGCAAAATACGAACTTTATACAGTTTTCATTATAGGTATAAGGTTATATTTAGGTTTTACAGCAAGTATGATTGCAATGTTGCTATAAAAATCCTCCCTCTCCCTCTTAAAAAAAACAAACGAAATAAAAAAAATCAAGAGAATGAAAAATATATAATTATTTACGCAAGTATCTATCTTTTGGGGTGTCTAGCATAGAGTAGAATAGAATAATTTAACTCTAGAAATTGCAGAAAATGACGTACTTACGCAATTAAACTACGTATTAAGTGAAAAAGAGCATGTTGGAAAAATATTTATAAATGTAGGAAAAAATTTACTAATAATATATTTTTTTAGGATTTTATATTATAAAGTAATTTTTTGCAATTTATTACATTTACGAATTTTTCTTAGCTCCTTTTACAACTTCTATTAAAAATCATAAAATGCATAAAAAAAACATCAAGAGTAATCAATATTTTGAATTTTAAAAAAAAAAATTTAGTGAGAAAATAAAATCTATTTTAATAAATAAAAACTTTAAATACGGAGAGAAAAATCCAATTAATTTAATTTCTTTCCCAAAATTAATCCAATTTAATAAAATAATACACTAACAATGTGTAAGACAGCAATAAATCCAATTTTCAGAGAAAGCTCAATATAAATGCATCTACTGTAGCCCCATAAAATTATTTGCTAAAGTTCTATCGGTTAATGAAAAATACGAAAAAAATATGTATATATGCTTTATAACATGTCCTATTATTTAAAGGCATCTTTATTATACATATTATTATTTAAAAGCACCTTTATAATATCTTATATTATTTCAAAGCATCTTTATAATATCTTTTACTATTTAAGAACATCTTTATAATACCTCCTAGCATTTAAAAGCATCTTTAAAAGATCTTAAAAGATTTAATTTTCCAATCTCTAAAATAATTTTTGCAATACCTCTTACTATTTGAAAGCATCTTTATAATATATCCTATTATTTAAAGCCACCTTATATCTCCTATTATTTGAAACAAATAGTCTTAAGTGGCAAATCTGGCGTCTAAATAAATAAAAAATTACAATTTTAAAATATATTACTTTTTTTATAATTTACTACTAAACAATTAAGTGTGTGGTCTTGCACCTATACATGAAAGCGTAAAACAATAATGGGAATCTGCTTATAGTTTTACTTTTGACAGGTAAACAAAAAAAAAATTTCCAGCAGCCCACACGAGCTTCGTTTCCCCCACTATAAAAACATAGGTAATTTAAACATAGAAATCTAATTATAAACAACTTAGGTTTGTAATAAAATAAGACAGTGCTTCATTTAACGCGTAAATTCCAAAAAATAAAATAATATTTATAACTAAGAAATAAGATAAGTTTTCTTATCGTTTAAGCTTGAACTTAAAATTGGTGCGCATTGAGAAACATCCAACTTCTTATTGCGCAACTTATTCTTATACTTCTTCTAGCGCATTGAGAAATCATCTGGCAACAATACAAGCGTTTTTTTTTAACCTTCCTCCGCAATACTTCAATAAATTTATGTTTATTTATAACTTTATCAGCAGCTAACGTTGTTTATTTTCTTCTCTCATTTAAAGGTCCAAAATGCTATTGAAGAATGTATGTCTGAAATTTTTCCATCATCTGATATGACTATGGCAGATTACGTCACAGCAGGATGCAAAGATGACGTCCTATTTGAAAAAGTGAGTTGTTTTGGCATTTATTTTATACTCTTAGTCCCAATTCCAATACATGCTATTACATGCTTATAAGAGTTTCATATAATAACTGAGGGATAGGATTTATGAAAACCATGTATACTTTAGCGTAATAGGATTTACTTTAAAATGTATACTACACTTAGAAGAAAATGTACTGTCAAAATTACCATAAAATGTTAATTTACCGCCTTTCTGGCTCTAAGGAAACACCAAAATTACGGTAATTTTTACTGAAGTACTTTGGTAAAATTAACTATAAAATATAATCTCATAACATATGATAAAATTTGATAATTTTTATCGTAATACTTTAAAGCATGGCATAACAGCCATTCATTCGGTTAAATTTACTTTTCAGCTCTGTATTTTCTACTAAATGTGTGGTAATAAGAACTATAATTTTGTGTACCAGAATTACCAGTAAGCGTTGCCGTATGAACGTAAAAATTACCAAATGAATGGTTTGAATACCGTATGCCTTAGCCTTTATTACGAGAATTATAGTGTTTTTAACCAGAAATGTCATTGCAATACAGTACGGTAATTTTACAAGAATGTTTCTTACGGTATAACATCAATATAATATGATACTAATAAGAGCACTCCATTTTGCAAACGATACGCAATTTAGAAACTAAAATAACTCAAGAAAAGAGTACTAAATAGAAAAAATATGCGCAGAAAAATGGAACAAAATGGTGATTAAACTAAATATTTCTGCCGTTTTTATTGCTATTTTATATAGAAAAGGTACTATATAGATTAAATTATGAAAAATCCTTAGGAAAAGATAGAACACTAAGATCTGATAGAGAGATGGGAACTATGGGATCTAACACTTCACTTAAAAATAGCTCGAGGATCTCTCTTCTGAATATAAATATTTGAAAGAAAAGATTCTCGGCATTTGTTAGTGCATGTGTGCGATGCGCGAGGAATAATTGTTTCACATGCCTATTCTTATTTGAAGATTTATAATGTAGTCCTTTTTATAATATAGTACAGTCTTCTGTCATATATTACCCCAGATTCTCGGTTATAATAAAAAAGGGTAGTAATGATACCATGCTTGATATCTTGTCTCCTTCTTTTATGCACTCTCAAATATCGAGTTTTAAATCTTTTTCAATGTTATTGTTTCAAAACAAATGATACATTTCCAGAATTATCTCATTACAATGCTGATTTCTTTTTAACAGATGACTGGATGCTATCGAAAAAATGAGTTGTCCAAAGAAGTAAGTATGTCTTTAACAGGCACAAACATCTCATCATCCAACCATAATCAAGCCCCATTTTTTAGGGTTCTATTTCTTGAAGGGCATGGTAGGATTTCCAAGGTAGGATTTTTGTTTCGCTTAAGTGACGTTAACAGCACCTGAGCTGCTACCTTATCCCCAAACTTCCACACCACATCCTACGAGAGGACTTACAGCCACGATGGATTTAACTCGCACCTTACTACGTATACACGCCGGTTGTTTTCTCGACTACTATGTTCGAACTCACTACCCCCAGCTTTCCAGCCAGTTGTGTGAGTTACGCCACAGACGACTGTGCCACCGGAGCTTTGATTAACAAGTGCATAGATGTAACTGTTTTTTGAAAGATTTTTACATTGCTAGCAATAAGTACATTATAATAGATATAATGCGTTTTGCAGTCAAAGGTTAAGATTTAAAAGGACATTTTCAAACATAATTTTTACCATAATATTTTTATAAATCTGTTTACTATTTTCCCCATAAAAATTTAGTAAAATTAGAAATAATGTCATATTTAAATAACGCTATTTACTATTTAAAGTCAGTATACCAACGTTATAAATTTGTAAACTCATTTAACGTTTATCTCCATTTATCAATAATAAAAACTATTGTTTTAAGTTTAAACAATAACTTAATGCAAACAAAATAAAAACACATTATTTTACGTAGACTTGGCTTTTCTTCACGCATTTTACAAACCATTCTCCGTATCAGTACTTGAAATTCCATAAAATTTCATATGCTGATCCCTACTTAATTTATTAATATCCGATTTCATTTATTCATTTCCTTATTTTAAGTCCCAGCCACTTTGAAAAAAATATATAAACCAAAGTTTAATTCACAGCAAAACACATGTGTAAAGCTATAATTTATAAGTAGTTACTTTTCACATGGGTTTTATGATTTTGATCTATCGGCAATAATCACTTTATCTTCAATATTTTCTACGCCCCACATGAAAAATAAATTTATATAGAAATGAGTTCAAAACATACTTGTTTTCTTCGCTCCAACTGACGAAAAGGACTTAAAATATGAACTCGAAAAGTGTTGTTAATAAAAATAAAGTTAACTTTATTGAAAACTTTGTTCTTGTTGCTTGAAAGAATTTTAATATTCATCTTCACGCCAAGCGGATAAGTTAGGAAGCACAAATCTAGTTAAATAGGTTAAAGAAAAAGCTTTTCGTACTTCTTTAATATTAAATTGTTTTTTTACAAGTTCTTTCTCTAAAGCATATATTTTAGCATAAATGTGAAACAGAAATATTATTACAAACTTTTATAATTCATTACAGGAAGAAAAGTACGAAGAATCTGTTGTAAGTATACAATCATTAATATTTCATGAAATAAACGAATACAATCAACAGTAATTAAATCATTAAATTATTGATTTACATCAATCTTGAGTAATCATTAATGCTGAAATATTATTAAATTACATAAACGATAAATTATTAATAATTTTACTGTTGAAAATGGTTTTTGACGATATTTTACGAACCCGAACTGATTATTAAAATCCCACATCATTGCCTAAAATAGTCATTTCATGTATGAAAAGACATTCTGAGAAGATGCCATTTTAAAAATCCATTTTCGTTTCAGGCCTGCTATCTAAATTTGTTTAAAAAGTATGAATTCAAAGAATTGGAAGATATCTACAAGAAAAAGCATGGACATTAGCACTGATGAAGTCTCCAATTATGGAAGTGGAAAATTTTTTTAATTTGAAAATAAAGATTTAAATAAAGAAAAATTATTTTCATTTCATTGCATTTAAGCAACACACCTTTCTCTTCCGATCATCTTTCGACGTAAGTTTTCCTTTGTTTTTAATTAAATGTTCCGAAATAATTCATAGAAACTTTTAACGTATTTTAATTCTTACTTAAACAAGGTGTCGATTTTAGAAATGTATTTAACGTGTGACATTTTTGGACTTTGTTATGTACGAGAACTATTCTAATAACTCCAAAAACAATTTTATTTACTCATTAAAAGTCCCGCAGTGGATTGGTCGTTAAGACACGGTTCCCAGCAGATCACCGAAGTCAAGCATTACTGGCTGCTGTCAATGTGCGGGTGGGTGACCACTTGGATCAGTCTGCGTAGGGACCGAGGGTGTGCGGTATTGATCCTCGTTAAACTGTACTACCGTAAAGTGCTCGACTCCGCGCGCAGGTCGTCGGGCTACCGAAGCGGGGGTGCCATCCCCTTCACAGAGGATCAAAATTCTGATGGCATGTCTTCGGATCATCCTCCGGGATGTTTCCCAGACCTTCGCCAATAGCCCATTGTGCAGCTCTAGTGCGACCTAAATTAACAGCAACTTTACTCATTAAAACATAAAATATGTATTTAATAATTGTAATCTCTTATTATGGTTCTTAAAAGTTTTCTAATAAATTACAAAAAATTTTTTAAATGTTTTTGAATAATAATGTATGAGCAAAACACTGTTGCCTACTATTTACTATAAACTAACTTTATTGCCAACTGTTATTACAATTCACTGACTCAAACTTTTCTCGATAAATCTAACTCAGAATAAAACATAATTAAAGTTTTATTATTTGTTCATATCTAAGAAAAGTTTAGTAAAAACAAATTCTTTCTAAAATACCGATTTGTTTGTAAGCAATCGGATTGAATACTGATTCAAAGATTTTATTCCCTTAATTCACTCAATAATTCTATTCACTAGCTTGAAATTTACTTTAATCATTTAACTCAAATTGATAAGATTTAAATGTTTCGAATCATGTTTCCAGTAATTTGAATTAAGATTTGAATCGAGATTCGAATAATTAAATTTAGATTAAATAAAGATTTGATTGATTTAAATCAAGAGTCTAATGATTTGCATTAAGATTGGTAAAACTGGATAGTCAAATTAGTGATATGAATGAAGAAAAATTGAATTCAATTAGGAATTGAAAATTTTAAATCAAGATTTATAGGATTCATTAATAAATTTAATGATTTGAATCAAGATTGATTAAATTCATTGACAATTTCAATGTGAAAAAAGTTGGATTCCTTAATTAATTTCATAATTCTCATCAAAATTTATTAAATTGAACATGAATTTTTAAATTTAATTAAAATTAAATCAGTTGATTTTAATCACTTGTTTCGAATCAGATTATTCAAATTACTTGTTTGAAAACAGTCACTTTAAAACTTAATCAAATTACTGTCCATTTTTTTAACTGACTTAAAAAAAACTGAATTCTAGTTCTCTTAGTTAAAATAACTTTTTATTTCAAAGTTATGTGGCACCATATGTAATTAAAAACTATCCTAAACTGTAGAATTCTTAATGCATTCTTTAAAGATGCATGTAGAACAATTGCTTGTATTTCATTAATTTCAAATTTCAAAAAAATTCCTTAAAACACTCTTTTTTTAATTCTTTACTTTTAATAAATCTAAGCATGCACTGATATCTTGCTTTCTCTGGCCAACGTTCAAGGATAAAAGTAGAAACCCTGTTTTTTTCAAAAATTTATTTATCAAGATTTGTTCCAAGAGATCAAAAAACGCTTGCATCATCTTCCTATCTATGCCAAGATGCTAACCCTTTGAGACCTTTTCGTATAAAAACAAGCTGTTAATGGTGACAAAAGAACTGAGTAAATACATTCTTAACTTGCCAATTTTTTTTATTTGTTGAGCCTGAGAATAATACTGATGATTTCATCAAAATTAAAAGCTTATTTTGAGGGATCATATTTTCCATGCTCAAATCCTAAGATTTTGTTTAAACAAAAAAAAAATATTATTTTAGATGTTCTATTTAAGATCTTTCCCCAAAATAACAATAGCTCTCTTTAAGTCATTATTTTTCTCCGTTTCAATGCGATTGCTGCACTGTGTGTCAAAGTATTCGAAATTATTGTGAGTAAAACGAACGGCATTTAAACAAGTAATTTTTTAAATTTCTTGTTCGTATGATAACGGTTTTTCATCCTGGTTTTGAAAATTATAGTTCTTTTATTACCCAACATTTAATAGAAAAGAACAACAGCACTGAAAAGTAAACTTAACCCAATAAATGGTTATCCTGCCATGCTCTAAAATATCACAATAAATTAACCAAATTATGACTAATAAACAGCATGGTAATTAAATCATATTTTATAGTTGATTTTACCAAATGTCATTACTTCGGTAAAAAGAAAGTAAAAGGTGTTTTGAATTGTTCACATTCTGGTAGTTATGACCATACTGTCTTTCTCTGTGGGGTACTGCTTATCTTAAACATTTGCGTCATTTATTGCATTCAGCAAACATTTGATTTCTGTTAGCATGTAAAATCAGGCATAAATTCTCATCTAATTTACATAACACTTGAACATCCAAATACATTTTTGTTTATATCCGTGTTAAATTCGTTAGAATTTACTGAATTCAATGGATCTTATGTTATTTTGTAATTCTGTGAAGCAAGTTATGATCTAAAGCTTGTTATTACAATTTTTTTCAGTTGGTATGCACTTATGTAATTCATTTGTGCCTTTTTGACCACTTTGTCACTAACTAATTAATTAAATAAGATTTGTAGATTTCCATCTGCCTATCTTATTTGAACTGACCTTTTATGTACTTTGAGTGAAATTGAGTTATAATGAAAAAAAATTATTTTTACTTTTTCTCTCGTATGACTGCTTGATTTTGCTATTAGAGTCTGGTTAATTGAAAACCATCTGACGGACAATATGTCTTATTTGGCATGGTAGCCATATTTTATAAAAGCAAATATTACTTCTTTTATTCGAAAAAAAATAATTTTGACAAAAACACATAAAATTTAAGCAAATGTGGCCCTAAATAGCCAATTGTTCTACGTAGGTTAAAAGAGAAGTGAGAAAAATATGTAGATTTCTTTTTTGAAGTATAAGACAAAATACCTTTTTCCCTTTTTTTGCTCGTTTTTATCTTTTTTGGTGTAAAATATTTCCTTTCAATTTTAATTTATATACCTTAATAGTTTTTACAATATTTGGTTCCCTGAATTTGTTGTAAAGTTTGTTATTCTAATGGATTTTCCAGGCATTTTCTCACAGTACCCTTGCAACAACTCATTTTGTGGATGCTTTATATGCTCATTTAACTTATAATCAATAATTTATCTTCAAAAAATAATTAAACTGCTTAACTGTTTTTAAATTTTAAAATAAATTGAAAAAATTCAAAATTTTTAAGTCCGTAAGGCTTTTTTATTTTAAAATATTTGAAAAAACTTTTTTTTCTTAGTGCTTACAATATTCATCTTAACAATTTTGTGTATTCATTTGTTGATATATCAATTAAGATATTTTTCATAGATAATTTTGTAAAAGAGTAGAAAAAAAGGTTAAAAATTCTTGTTAGGTATATATAACATGCTGTAAAAATTTTAATACCGCGTAAAGTTCTTATTCTATGCACAGTTTAGACAAGTGTATTATACATTAAAAAAAATTTTACTTCAAGGTTTTATCTTAAGCAATTCCTTAGAGATTTAATCAGGATTAAAACGCAAAATTATCATCTATGAGAAAAAGCACTTTAAAGTCTGTCTGCTGAACAAGTTTCTGTATTAGGATAATCNAATACATTAAGTTCAGCTATCAGACCCCTTGTATTTTTTTCATCGCAGGCCTGTGTGATTTTTTTCAGGGCATTTGAAATAGTTTGAAGTTTTATAATAAGCAATAATTTTTTTAGATATTTTAGTCATTTTTTGGGTACTGTGACACCTTAACAACACGAAATATTTTTCTTATCGATTTTCACTGAAATATTAATAACCTATTTTCCTAAGCTTTGCTCATGGGTCATCATTTTCCTATCCATTTCCCTATCTAATCTATATTTTCCAAATATAATCAATATATTTTTGAAACAAGAAAATTACTTTTATCATTTGTGTTAAGGGAAAATCATCATTAATCGTAAATAAAAACTCCAAGGAAACTGTAGCGGTAAGATATTACTTGATTGGAAACTACGTTCTTTTAAAAAATAAACAAATATGAAATAACAGTCGGCATGTTTGAAGCACTTCAAAAATAGGAGCTCATTTTCAAGACTTGCCTGACGTGAAAGTAAAGAAAACAAAAATTATTTGAAATTAAAACGTAGAGTAGTCAACGAAAACAAAGTAAAGATGAAAAACAAAACTATAAAAACTATATAGGCTGAGAGAGCGAAAAAAGATGAAAAACAGAACATGAAAAATCACAGTTGTGAATAAAGTTTCCAATTAGGTAATATTACTGATGTATTTGGTAGAAATTTGAATAAAGGATATTTTTGTTCCTTTCAAAGTTTTAAATTGTTCTTATATTTCCAGCCAAAGATTCAAATTTCTACCACTAATTGAAAAAGAATTTGCTATCAAGTTACAAAATTACATTGAAATGGCGCAAGTTATTGTTGTCAAATTAATATTGACTTTACCAACCATTCCAAGCGTTTTTTATGCTACTAATTAAAAATATTTCCCATTGCTAAATGGGAAACAGCGTTAAAAACACCCAATTCCTCAGACGTTAAAAGTAAATAATGATAGAAAATTATATTGATTTTAAAAGCCATGCTGAGACTCACTTTTTAAAAGGGTAGGTGTAAAAATGAATTAAATCTGAAATGCCTTAAAAGAAAACTTTCGATAAAAATATTTGATGAATTTTAAAAGAACATTACAAATCTCACATAAATATAATTACCAATTTATTGACAAAACATTACATGTTTAATTGATTAATTATTGCTTTGTTAAGAAATAAACAAATGAATTTTTGTTCGAACAAACAATATGAGGTATATATTATTGAGGTATATAAACGTAGATATAAAAAACTTATCTCTACGATTTTATCTGTGTAATAGTGATTCAACTTTGTTTCTTACTCTCCCAGTGTTCTGCACTTTTGACTAAGTTATGTTTCTTGAACAATTCTGTATAACAAGCCTAAAATTGCAATCGGAAAAAATCAATCATATTAAATACAGAACTAATACAATAGGAATCAAAAATATCACAATACTTATACAACACATCATTATACAACATATCACTATCCTTATAAACACATATAGATCTGTGATATTATAGATTAGCATTGCAGCAAATATTGAAGTGATAGTTTTTAATTATAATTTAATTATATATTCTTTGCACATTTTATTGTTAACGCAAACGTTATTGGAAATATATTGTAATGTGCAAACTGAAACGGAAATCTAAAAATAATGATCTTATTTTTCATTTACAATCAGGACTGAGGAGTATAACTGACTGAAAAAATGTTTCCGATAATTGAAAAACAATACCTCCCAAAAGTTGTATACGTACTAGTGAACTTCTAGTGACACGCGTGAATTTTTTTCAGATTTTTCATGCATCATATTCATTCTCTGGAAAAGCCTTTAAACTTTAAATTTTTTTTACAAAAAACAGAAAATTTATGAATTTTTTAAATCTTTAAACATTGTCATATAAAAACAAATTAACACTCAAAATTTGTGCATTAAATAAAATATTACTTGTGAATTTTTCACTTGTTTTTCAACGATATTTTTGTTTTTTTGCAACAGCAATAAAAATTATGAAATTTTACAAAAAGTACCAGAATTTCTTACAAATTGTTAGGAGAAACTAAAACATCTTGCAAACATTGCGTATTTACTGAAATATTACTTACGAATTGTTTTGAAATTTTTCTGGTTCATTTTCCTCTTTATTAAAAAAAGAGCAAAAACAAGTTTTTTTTAGCTTCTTACATATTAATAATACTATATAGTGAGACTTATGAAATTGCTACAAAAGGTAAACAAGAGAGAGAAAACCAAAGAGTACGCAATAATTTTACTAAAATATCATTGATGGCTTATTTACATTTGATACAAAATCACAGGAAATAGCAAGACTAAAGAGCAAGATTATTTTCATGACTCACAAACTGTAACATGAAGGGGTATAGATTCTATAAATTTGCAAAAGTTTGTGAACAGTTAGTTAAAAAGATGGATAGATAAAAAATTAATCTAGCTTTGGGCGAATCACAAGTTACCAAATTTCAAAGAAAAGAAGAAAAAAAAAGCCAATTCAAAACATTTTAGTTACAAAAGAAGGCAGGAACATATGCCAGATATAGAATGCTGGATAGACTTGGTGCTGCCTTTGTTGTAACATTACCATATGATTTACAGAGAGCAAAAACGAAGAAAATACAAAATAAATTATAAAAGATTAAGTTGCAAAATATAAAATCTGAATATAAAGATAATCTTCTGAATATAAACATTGAACTTATTTTACATGATAATAATAATGTTTTCCTGAAAGTTGATAATTTGAATAAGTCGGAATCTAACTCTCTAGAAAGTTTGAAGTCTCACTGTAAAAGAAGATTTCTAAGGATTGAATGAATATGTGTAAAAAACCTTCGAAACAAATAATAGTCGAATTTGAAAACCCCATGTATTTCAAATTAATAAACCATTCATTCATTTTTGTGCAAAATGCATAGTCTACAAACTAATGTGGAAGAAGAAATGAGTGAGAAGGACGTTCGTTAGCTGATTGCAGGATTCGAACCAAAAAACTTTTAAGTTTTAGTAGGATGTTCTAACCGAGTCATGCACCCCAGTCCTGAAATAGTTAGGAAACTATATATGGTGATCGTTACAATTACACATCATGACAAAAGTGGAAAAGAGATATTCACTTGACATTAGCTGTAATTCAATCCTTTTAACCAAGAGTTATGTAATAATTTATCAATGAGAAATAATGTAGTTTTAACCTTCTCCCTCCAGTCCAAAGACTTATAAGGTGGTCTCTGCATACACTTTATAAATTTTTATGTTTTTGTGCTTTTGAAAATCTATTTTTGTGCTTACAAATTTTCAAATCTGCATTTATTTCAGAAAATATTTTGAGTAACAAGCAAAAATATACTTACTGTCATTTCCGGATTATCTTCTTGCTAAAATAAAATAATTTATCAAGTCAGTCAAAGTTTAAGTTTGTTGCAAACCCATAAATTAATAAAATGAAAGAAAAATAAGAGAATTATAAATCAAATTATGAATGGTGCGCTTAAATAAATCCGTAACCATAATAACCAGTACTGCTATACGATATAGGCATTACAATCTTCTCTCTTTTTTATAAGATAATCACTGGTACCCTAATTGCATTTCTTTTTAAATGAACAAAACACACTAAGTAACATCGCATTACTAATTTTGGAGAAAAAAAAATAAAAGTATAATTGGAAAACTTTTATTTCATTTTACTGACTTTCGTGCAATTTGCATCTATAATAAGCTTAAGTATATTCCACGCTTAAATCCTTAACAAGTCATTTATATTTAACAAAATAAACAATTCAGCACCACATTTAATATCCGCATTCAAAATTTATGCCTTTTTCTAATTATTTTCTGTAAAGAAAGACAATGTCACCCCGATCTGATTTGACTTTGCTCTTTAAAAATTTCCGAATCAAATTAATGTACCATTGTTATTTTAACTATAAATTCTATCTATCGATCCATTCTATCTGTAAAATTTTTATCGTGAAATCTATTTTTACTGTGAAATATTAAACTGTAATGTTTACAGTAATATTTATTTGAATGGTGTGCTTCAGTGTTTTTTTACGATAATTATTACTGCAAAAAGTACGCGGCTTCAGATTTTTCGTCCATTAACATGTTATGGAAAAAATAGATTTTGCGGTTAAAAGTATCGGTACCCTGAATGACAGTACTTTTTACCGTTTTTTAAATTGATTTTTTTACAGTGAGGTTCTTGGTTCAAATTATAAAGAATAACAGATCACTGAGAAAATAAATATGGTCAAAACTACCAGAATATGGTAAAATTTACCGTGTTTCTGCCTCTTTGGGAGCACCAAAAGGCTCGATATTTTTTTTTGAAGTGCTTTGGCAATGATTTTTAGTTAAATTAACAATAAAATATTGTTTTATAATATGAACTAAACTTGGTAACATTTAGTAATTTTCTCAGGACGCCTTACAGTTTTGATTCATCGGAAATTTTGCTTTTCAAAATTACAGTCCTTAACCACACATTTAGTAAAAGTACAAAACTGAAGTAAATTTAACCAAATAAAGAGTTTTAATGCCATTATGAAAGATTAAACGGATAATTTAAATTAATGGTTTAAAGGAATCGTTTAATAATATAATATAATTATATAATCCAGTAATAATGGTTTTAATGTATGAGTTTTTCTTACCAGAATAATTGGGGGGTTTTTTAACCAGAAATTTCATTACAATAGAGTGAAGAAATTTTACCAGAATTTCCGTGAGGAACTACTGTAATACTATCAATGGTAAATGAATTTTACTCTTATTTGCTTCTCGGCCACTGCGATTTTTCTTGTTCTGTTTTTCCTTTTTTTTCTCTCGGCTCCTGTAGTCTTCTGTATTAGCTTCTCACCTTCATTTTTCTATTTTTCTTCGGCAACTTTACGTTTTTTTATTTCAAAGGATTTTTTTTTTACTTTACATTCAGGTCTAGCAAATTTAGATAATGGGTGACTAGCTTTAAGCCCTTGAAACATGTCAACTGTTATTTCTTAATAGTTTATTTCAGAAATGAATGAAGTTTTTAATCAGGTAATACTATCAATAGTGAGTATAAATCATCTTCATTTAAATTTAACAAGTGATGATTTAAATAATTAAACACGATGTTTTTATAAACATCATTTGAAGCATTTTATATTTAATGTACACAATGTTATAATTCACTGTTACCCAACTGTACTTACTTCGCCAGATACATCATAGCCTGCGTAACATGAATTCATCTGTAACAAAAAATACACAAATTTAATTTCTATGAAAATAATTTGCTTAGAAATGAAAGTTAATAATTTTTCCCTTTTAAAATATGCGTGTTTAATTTTTCTGTTAATAATTTAATTTTCAAGATATTTGAATCAGCTGAGAGCTTAAAGACAAAGCATTTACGTAGTGTACCTGGTGTACGTACGTACCTGGATTATTGTAATATTAACTAAAATGTATTGTGAGCAAAAATAAAAATCCATTTTGGTAGGTTTGCTTGTATTGCAAATCACTTTTTCGGAACTGGATATAAAAATGGATGTTATGAATATATTTTAAGTCTTTCAAGATACAATAGCTCTAAATACAAAATTGGTCCTTAATAAGAAGTCTGTAATGATCTTATATATTTCTAGACAATGGTCTTAGAATAGCTTTCTATATCGGACCGAGATTGAGGTGTATAATTTGTGTAATAATAGAGCCTAGAATGCTTTATATTCTGGTTAAATATTTATTTTTATGTAGGACCTTTATAGGTTCGCAGTATAGGGCCATTATTGGGTTGTCTAAAGTTTTTAATATTGGTCCTGGAATGGTTTTGAACAAAGGACCAATGTTAATTTCTTTATAGGACCCTTGTGGCCATTACGATGTTAAGCGTGCAGCGTAGCTACCACTACAACTATTAAATTCTAGTTCACTAGTATATAAGACATGTTAACTTTATACTATACTAGGGTACCTTTGAATAGATGAAGGTTGACATAGTCGGTATCCTAGCCTCAAAAGGGCTGCTCGCTGGCTTGTTTGCTTTAACGATCACTCTTCATAGGTGACTTTCGTGCGTGATCTGAACATGCCCATCTCGATATGAACACACTTAGCTGATGGATTTCCATCCATCAGCATAGTCAGCATTTAAGTTGCGATTTGTGACTGCGACATTGACTTTTTTGTGATGTTGCTATTCAGTCTAAGATACAACGGGCTACTTTAGTCTAACCCTATATGGGCGACTCGCGGGCGTGATCTGAATGCGCTTGCCTTAACCAACAATCTACAAGCCAATATTGGGGTGTCTATATTTTGTAATATTGGTCCTAGAGTGGCTTTTAATAATGGTTCAATATTATTTCCTTTTTTTGTCGTATGCCTGTTAAGGCGGTGGGGGTGCGATTGTTCCTGTTTTTCAGTGGCGCCATTTATGACCAAGAATTCGACTTCTGCCACGCCATTCACACAACCACAACCTGTTTATAGAGCGGGTCACATTCACACACAAAAGAGAAAGGACATAGAACACACAGAGAGAGAAAGAAACATCCATGCCTTGCCCGGGATTCGAACCCAGGACCTTTCTGATGCAAGGGCAGTTACCCCCTACACAGGCCGGTCGGCATTATTTCCAATGTAGGACTTTTATAGAGTTATAATGTTGGGTAAACCTGGGTAATGTTGGGTAAGGATGATACATAACATAGGGAAACATAAGGATGATCAAGATTTTTCAATATTTTCCCTAGAATGCCATTAAAAGGGCTTATTAATAAACTAATATCATCAATTTCTATGTAGGAACCTTATAGACTTAAAAAGTTGGGAAAAAATAGGAGTGTCTAGTTTTTTTTAATATTGGTCTTACAATAGCTTTCAATAATGGACCAATATTATTTTCTATGGGGAACCCTTATAGAATTGTAATGTTTGATAAACATTGGAATTTCTAGATTTTCCAATATTGGTCCTAGAACAGTTTTCAATAATGGACCACGATTCATTTCTTTCTAGGTCCTTTATAGGCTTATATTATTGGGTAAATATTGGGGCGTTTATATTTCGTAATAATAGTTCCAGATAGAAATGATTCATATTCCAGTATTGAAAAAATCGTGTTCCAATATTTATGTTCCAATATTGATTTATGAGCTTTTAAATTATGATCTAAGTATATAAAGATATCTAAAGATATAAAGATATTTAAAGTTATCTAAAGATATAAAGATATTTAAAGATATTTAAAGATATCTAAAGATATAAAGATATTTCAAGATATCTAAAGAAATAAAGATATTAAGATCTAAATATATTCAAAATCTAATATAAATTAAATTGCACAGTTTGGGAGTAGTAGAAGACAGAAAAGATTTATAATGTAAATTTGAAAAAAGCATTTTGTATGTGTGTTTTGAATTTGAAAAAAAATCTGAAGAATTTCATACTTCATCATATAGAGCATCATCTTTACAAACTGACTTAGTGAATTCTTTAAGGTCATCGTTGGCTGTTGGAGACATTCTTGAAAAACATTCTTTAATGGGGTCTCGATACTAGAAAAGTACAAAAAAATATTTTATCAATCAGATATATTTCATGAACTGCGATGTAAAAAATTCGCTTTCTTTCAACATACTTTCTCTGTATACTTTACGCGTAAAGCTGTTTTGTAACTAATCATAAACGGATTAAAATCGTCAGTTCAAATTCTACTATTTGCCATGTGGTTTTGCTTACCGTACGATAACTCTACCCTTTTTCAATTCATTTTGCGATTATTTTGTCAATTTTCTCTTATTTTTTCAGGAATTACTTGATGGTCGTGAACGTCGTATAAATATAGCTGCAATTTCATTTTCTATGCTTATTCCATTTCTCTTCAAACTAAGAAACTAAGACCTACCGAACCTCAAAGAACACGGTACTCGTCTACGAAAATTATTCGTTATTATGGGTTCGAATACCAGCGTAGACTAGTAATATAAATACTGCTCTGAGTTCGCCCCGACCAGACATTGTTAGTTTAGAGCATATTTTGCTAAAATAACAAAGTTTGTTGAAATAACATAACTTATCTGCTCAAAAGTTGGCACCTGGTTTTAAGTGTCAGTACCTTTCCGTGCAATTTTATACAGGCACACTATCTGATAATTATTTTCTGTTAAGTTCGCAGATTGTTTTACTGTGTAGATTAGAAGCAACTTAATTTTAATTGCAAACTCCATGTTTTTTTTAAACATTCATATATGCTACATTTCAATTAAAAATTTGCTATTATACGTTTACTAGCGTTTATTACTTCTTTTTAAATATCATTTGCAATAGATACATCGCTCTTTCTTATACTTTACTCTGAATGATTTTTTTTTTAAATATTAGTTAAGCAAAGGAATTTTACATTTACCACTTATAACTTAGGTAAACTTTTAAACCTTACTTTTATTATTACCTTGAAGGTATATTGTTATCTTTAAGGTAAGGTGAAGTAATTAGATTTTAAGACAAGCGAGCGTTGTTGAAACATACATAGGAAATGAACTTTGACAAAATTAACAGCATTTTAAAAAGTCTTAACATGCAAAAATGTATGAGAGAGTGTAGAATATTCATAAAAATTAAAACAAAATGCAAATTATTAATTTTTATGAAAACTGCATTTCAAGGAATTTTTTCATTAGCGAATATGAACTATAAAACTTTTGCGCAGCTCATAAAAAAAGGAAGTATTAAGAGCAAATTTAATTTTTTTTTTCATTTTTCAAAAATTATAATGGATAGTCATTTCTCTCCTTCTTATTCAGAAAATTCTTTCAACAAAGCAAAATGGTATATTTTAACTCTTTCTCTATAGTAACGGATACAATATATTTCTGAAAAAAACTTGGAAAAATAATTCGCACTTACTGCTTTTGGCTCCAATTCAAAGCAATTATATATGTCCTCCAACAATTCATCGTCATTGCCTAAAAATTTAAAACAAATACTGGAAACAGATAATTTTTTTAAAACTTCATTAATTGCATTACAGCTTACAAATACAGCTAAAGATATATTCTCTGATTTGTATATCATACTTATGCGCCCAAGGGGCGAAATCCACTAACTGCACTTTAAAAAAAAAAATTAGAGAAATACATCATTGTACCAAATCTTCATCTTACATATGAAAATACTCTTGCTTCACTGCCAATTAGAAATTACCTGAATATTTCAATTTCGTTTTAAAAAGAACGCTAAATAACTTGCTATCACAATAAATTTTAACAATTTTACCATTTTTAATCTTTTGTCTAAACAGCAGTTTACATGTTTTGCATTATACATAACCATTAAAAAACAATGAAAAAGATTTTAAAAAACGTACTTCCCACAATGGTAGTTCATAGTTGTTTTTCATACTAGTAACACTATCCGGACCCCTATATATTGGTCAAGTCTATATGTTCTTTTATGCTTCATTTAAGTGAAAAAAATACATATGCTTCTTCCATATTGAACCATAACCTTCTAGAAATGAGAAAGTCTTTGCATGGATCACTATAGTCTGAAAGAACGAAGATAAACTGTGCAGTGAGGGTGTTAAGAAAGATACCATAACTTTGAGACTTCTAAACTGAGATGTGGGGGAAATTGGGAAAGTTGTCACAGAGTTCGAACTATTCAAGGATCAGATTTCTTGCTTTTTGGTAACCTGTTCTAAGACATTCTTGCTTCTATGAGGTTTAGATTAAACACTTTAAGTTTATTCCATCACAGGCATAATGAAACAAACAACTGTTTGTACTATGTTATCATGAATACATTATTCTACTTTTAAACGTAATTAGAAGTAAATAATAATTAAAGCCGTTCTAGTAAAAAAAAAAAGTTTATTCGAAGTCCTGCATTCAACTAAATGTTTCGTGAAAAAATTTTGCTTACTGCATAATGCTGCCTTCCACTCATCCCCTGCTTCACCTGCCGCTGCATAAGTCCAGATGGAAATGACAAGAATCAGACCCAAGTACTTCATATTGAAATATTCTGAAAGACATTCATTACTGTTAAAAGAAAGTAATTATTTCATTTTGATAGTCAAAAACTCCATTTTTGATGGATTTGAAAAATTTAAAAAAAAAAGTCTTTATTTTTTTTAATATTTTTTTTCATGGCCATGGTAGCTCAATGGTTATACAACGGACTTTTGTCCGAAGGGGCTAGAGCTTGATCCTCAACCCCACTGAGACCCACCGAGTACATGTAATATTCGTGATCGTAAAATCTATAGAATCGAAAGTCCTTCGGTTGGTCTCTGAGCAATACCTAGGGTACAGGGTTACAGAGAAAATTTCCTCACCCTTCCGATCTACTTCAAAATTGAGGAAGTGGCCACTGGAATGAATAGTACTGCCATCTTACCAGTGGGGTTCTGAACTAAGATTTACTTGCCCTTTTGTAGTGCTCTCGTGTCAAACGACAGGTGCACCTTTTCAACTTAATTTGCAAAAAAACCATTGGCTGGTGAGCTTGGCTTGTCCAAGTGTCATTGGAAACAACAGCAGCAATACTTTTTCATAAATTAAATCATTAACTTATTAAGTGAGGAGTTGTAATGACAAAAGATTGCAAGTTTAATTTTATTCAAAAATCCCTTTAAATGCACCTCATTCAAAACTTGATCCTAGATTGTTTCATTACCTTTAGATAATTATATTAAAGTCTCTTTTTTGTTATAACGCAGTTATTGGTCTAATTATCAATGCGTGTCGAGAAGTAAATCACAGATAATCTTAAATGAGTTATGAAATTAATCTTTTTCATCACTCTGACAAAATCTCAAAACTCAGATTTATTATATACTATTTTCCCGAGATTGTTGGACGGAAATAATTGAGCAATAAATCTGAATCTCAAAAACCAAGTTTGTTAAACTCTATATTTCCGAAATAACACGATAGAAAATCTTTTGGCTCAAAAATCTTAATAACAAAAATCAGATTTATTGGAAAGTATATTTCAGAGACAATATAACAAAAAATTATTGAGATTAAAATGTCGATCTCAAAAACCAAGTTCATCAGTACAAATATTTCCGACATAATGTGACAAAAAATTGGTGACGTTAAATTCTTGATCTCAAAACACGCTTTATTAGAAACTATATTTCTGAGATAATAAGGCAGAAACCGTACTCAAATTAAAATCTCAGTCTCAAAAAATCAAATTTATATGACCGTATATTTCCAATATAATTTTAGGAAAAGTACTTAAAATCTCTATTTCAAAAACCTAATTTATTCGATACTATATTTCTGAGATGATAAGACAGGAATTTTATTAAGATTGAAATTCCAGTCTTAAAAATAAAATTTATTTTAAAGTATATTCCGGCATAACGTGGAAAAAGTATTTAAAATCTCATTTTCAAAAGTCGAGTTTATTCGATACTAAATTTCGAAATAATAGGACACAAATACTATTAAGATTAATATCTCAGTCTCAAAAATAAAATTTATTCGACAGTATATTTCCGATATAATATGGATATATATTAAGATTCAATAAATTTATTTCGGAAATAAGTATTATCTATTTCCAATATAATAATAAAATCTCAATCTCAAAAACAAAGTTGAAATATTTTGAAACGTAGGGGATTGTCACTGAGTCCTGTGGAGGATTGTTCCTTGCATTTAATTTTTTTAATTTATTAACACATTTTGAACAAAGTTAAGTATGAAAAAAATTGCAGACACTTACTCTGTTATTCAGGCGAAAATGGAGAGAAAAAAAAGAGAGAAAAATTGAATATGTTTTATAGTGTTTTATTTTTTGTTTTGTATTTTAAAAATGACCAAAATGAAAAATGATGTTTGAAACTGGTATCGTGTAGCTGCTATTTAAATTGAAGTGTCAACCTACAAAGACAGAGCGTGTATTCAGAAAAAATATAAGCATGACAAGTTTTATGTACAGTTTCCTTGTGTGTTAAAATAATTGTCGCATTGTTACATTGTTTTATTGAGCTTTTGATAATTTAAAAAGTGATAACATTTATGTGTCGGTAACTTTCCTTATCCACAGAAGTACTATGCCGTTGAAGAGTAATCGAAATTGTTGAAGAGGTTGAAAAACTAATTTAGTTACATTTTCCGATTCTATTATAGCCATTACAGCTGTCGCAAAAATAAATAGGCTTTTTTTTACGGTAATTTCCTACATAAATTACTAAAAAAACAGTTTGGTATAAACTCAAGAAATTCTCAATCTGGTACAAGACAATTTCTTGAAAATAACTTGTTTTAAAGGCAGTATTTATGCGATGAAAAAAATAAAATGATTTCTAAAAATTAAGGCTTTCTTTTACCTTTATAATAGTTGCTATACAAATTGATAAGTGTATTTTAACAATTGCTGCGAGAATTTGTGCTGTAAATTAACTTATTTTAAGTTTCTTATAAAATACTTAGAAAAAGGTTTACTTGGTAAAAAAATAGTTAAAGGTTGACATAAAAAATAAATTTTTTATTTATTTATTTAAAGAGTATTTATACTCTCTTGTTAACAAATATTCATAAAATAATTATTTTTAATATTATTACGACTACAACTACTTTAATAATAAGAATTTTTATTACAGTGGAAAATGTATTTATTTTTTATTTTAATTTTTTACTTTACTGTTTTCTTTCTTTTTTTTTTTTTAAAAATAATTATAACTTGAAGAAAGTTTCACTTTAGAAATTGTGCAAAACGTTTTTTAAAGCGTTTAGAGTTTGCAATTCGGTCAGATATAAATTTATTTTATATAAAATAAATCACTTATTTTAAAAAAATTAAGCTTCGTTAAAAATTATTACTTTAAAAACTGATATTTTTGAAGGGAAAACTATATTTTTATATTCTTTGTTTCAGAATATACTACGTTTATTTTTATACAAATAATCTGCTAATTTTTAGATATTTCAATATTTTTTTCGTATTGCTTACCAAATAAATTTTTCGAAAGAAGTAAAAAGAAAGGTATTTCCTGTAATATTGAAACTTTCATGTTCGATAATATCCAATTAATTCCTGATTTTCGGTTTCGGTGTTTATTTGTTTTAACAACATTACAACAACATGCAGACAACGCTTTAAGAATAGTGAAAATTATTAATCCGTAATATGACCTTACAATTTCAGGTACATTTTTTTATTAATGACTATATTCGATTAAGGGGACACGGGACCTTTCAAATGAAAAGTTATGAAAACTTGTTTTTTAATTTAATTTTACTATTATGAACATAATTTATTTATTTTTTAGCATATTTTAGGAAATAAGCCAAGTAAAAACAATTTTGGTCAAAGTTTTTTTAAAAATTTAATAAAATATGAAAATTTTACAAAATACAAAAATTGTCCCTTGTGTCTGAAATTTCATCCAAATAATTTAAAATTTTTTCTATAGATAGATAATGATGATATAAAGACTCTCTAGCATCAGTTATTGTTTCACTTCAACAGGTTTTGAGAAAAAAAATTTTTTTTAGTTCCGACGCTTTTTTTTCGAAAATTTTCATTTCCTCCTACAGTTAAAGTTGTATAAAAAACTTTATAATTAATATTTCGTGAAAACAATGCTACATTGTCTTTATAACAGTCATATGAAGCATATGAAAAATTTTCAGGCAAAATTTTCAAATATTCAGACACAAGGGACAAATTATAGAAGTAAATTATGCAAAAAAAGTTAACGGAGAAAAACTACTTTTTTTGTGTAAATTAACTAAAACTCACTGTAATAGCTATAATATCATGCTTAAAATATAAAAAGAACTTCCGATGTATTCTTAATATAATAAATGCTAAATTTTTACCAATACAAACGATTTTTACATAAAAATATTGTTCGTTATGCATCATATCAATATGTCATATGTAACCTTGAAACAAAGAAAAAAGATTATTTTTGTGTGCATAAAAATTACACTAAAAACATTATTCTCTATAATTTTAATAAAACAAATAATATATTTGATACCAGATAAATAAAAAAATTATTGACATTGACATAGGAAAAGCATATTGCAGAATTTCGATAACATGCTAGAAAATTTCAATACTAATGCTATATTAATTAATTAATTTATATGCTATACTAATTAAAAAATATTTTATAGAAATATTGATTTGAACATAAAAAAAAATCAAAATAAGCTTGATAACTACAATGTAAACAAACAGACAGCTTATGGAACGTCAAAAGTGCCACGCCCACTTTTCAGAAAAATAGCTATAAAATCATAAAAAATCATCGTATCGAAAAAATTTGAACAACACGTGATTCAGGCTGACTATCTTTATATTTTTAACAAAAAAAATTTTTTTTGAAAATTTTATGATTTCAAGGTCCCGTGTCCCCTTAAGTTTACTTACAGAGTTTTGCATAAAGTTTACTAAAAGACAAACATAACTAATATATTGCTTAAAATAATTAAAAAATATAAATACCTCTTGTTATTGTGAAAGTTAAATCTTCACTGAAAAACAAAATAATAAATTATTTCTTTTATAAATGATGATATCTAATCTGATATCAATGTTTAGATCGCGTCATGTAGTTTGCAAGTCGTCATGCAATAAGATTAATCAACGTTTATTCAATGCTTTTGAAACCAAGATGGACTACGAAAAGAATGAACTAGGATAATGCATATAATTACTTAAATATTGTAACTAAAATAATATTTTGTCTGAGATGTTTATTTATTCACGCAGTTAGTTGTAAAATATAGCGAAACAGGTCCCTTCACTAACTATTTAATCCATGTTTTCGAGATTCATCGGAAAAAGAGAGTATTTATTAAAAATATAATCGGTTTTGTATCTAATTTTCTAAATTAATAAATCAGTTGTTATTTTTTAATTAAAATATCTTTAATGTACTTTTTTAATCCAAAAAGAGGCATTTTGGTGAGTAAAAACCTAATTATTAGATCAAACGCAATAAAGCGGGACCTTTCTTATTTTAAACATTGCTCAATTTGAGGACATTTATTATTCAGAGTTATTGGGGCGTGCTTTTTCTCTCTCAATCTGGGTGTTACGTATGGTTATGTAAGTTAATTAGTGCTACTTTGTAAGCAAATTTTCCATATTTCACAGAGAGCTTTGTATTTTGTAATTTCTTTTTTAAAAGAAAAGAAGCGAAAAGAGATAAAGCGAGATGTTTTAAACTACTCTGCATCGCAATTTAAGTGCAAAATGGATAAAGGCTCTAATAACATTATTGTAAGTTTAAGTATAATACATCTAAAACTTATGCTTCAAGAACAGGAAATAAATATTATGCCTTTTTTTCCATCATTTGTTCATAAACTTCAAATCAGCGAAGTCTGTAAATTCCTAACTCTCTTTTAAAGCGTTTCTACCATAGATTGCATATATTTAGCGATCAAGCAAAGTCCTCGAAATACAGATTTAAGTTTACTGCGCGTAGAGCTTTACTTTACTTTTAAAGCACTCACTTTTGAAATAGCATGAGTAAATAGGACTAAATTAATGTTTTGCATCAAGAAATCTCATTAAAAAATATATCTTGGAATATACTTCCACTAAGCACACCAATTCCGATTTAATATACCAATTAATCTGCTTCATATTTTATAACCGTCATTGAACAGTCGACTATCAATGTTCAACTCCGTAGCCTATAATTTTGAACCCAATCCAGAAGACAAGGAATCTCCTGGATCGAGTATTGGAAGAAATTTGTCTTCGTGCAGGATTTGTTGATGGAACTAACTCGCATTTGCGTTACATGGAAAGGAAAACCACGAAAATATCCACTGTTAGCCAAAGGGCAAGGGGACTTTAACTCATGATCCGTTTACCACTGTGGATATTTTACATCAGCACTGTGGTCGGTGCAAGCTGGATTGGTGCGAGTTTGTTTCGACCAGCCATACAGCCATCATGGGATGGGGTTCGAGCCCGGTTCACCTCATTGGAAGGCGGATGCACTATTCCCTGAGTCGCCACGGCTCAAATATGCCTTATGGAAATATCGAGTTTTTTTTTTATTTTCCTGTAGAGAAATTTACTTTTTCAAGGATGAAGGTTCTAAATTTTTCTTCCAGTCATTTAGTGGCAAATAGGTGTTATATTGAAATTAAAATACCAGATAATCACTATGTGTTTTAATACTTTCTCACTTAAGACCAAAATTAGCATTGGTTTTTTATTTGTTGGATATAAAGCTTTTCTAATATATGTTTTACATTTGTTAATATAAACTTCATCGGTACATGCAATCTGAGTGATCAGTCTTTCCTTACTTTTTCTATAAAATATTTATTTACTTTGTGATTATGAAATATCTTCTATTGCTTTAAAGGTATATAAATGCAAAATATATATAAGGGATTCAGTTAAAAACCAAATTAGACAATTTTCAAAATTTTTATATGACAGAACAAAAATTTTCTTGTGGAAACTCAATTTGGTTCAATAGTTTTTGTTGTTTTTGCTACGAATGTTATTTTTTTTAATTCTTGATATCGAGTTTATGATTTCTGTTATTGTAAAATGTTTTTAAGAAATAAACGGAATTAGTTGTTAATATGTCAATTCTTGCCCACGGGTAATACATTTTTTTGTTAATAAATCGTTTTTCCATTTTTTTAAGGAACAGAAATTAGTTATATACTTAATTTGTAAATTCTAGATAACAAATTAAACGTTTTTGTTGTTATTGCTGCATATGCTTTTTAAGAGAATTGGAATTTTTAAATTAATTTGCTAATTATTGATAATATTCATCGTTAGAAACAGTTTAGTTTCCTTTCAAATTAATAAAATGTATTTTGTGTTGAGCTTGATTTATATTAGTCCTTTTAAATAATTAAAACAATAAACAATGTAAATTTAGCGTACTTCGTGCACATTTTTTTTCAACAGGGCTAAAAAATAAATGTTGAATGAAGAAATTTAAAAAATCTGAAAAACAATTACATTTTATTTGAATTATGAATAAATTCAACTCATTTTTTTCAAAAACAGACAAATATGAAGAGCCTGTGCTTGATTCTTGCAATTGACTTATTTTCCTTTGCGGCAGCTAATGATCATAAGGAAATTTGGCAGAACGCTTAATGCAGTAAGTTTCTTTTTCTTTTCTAAATATTTTCTATAATTACGTTTGAAATAAAAATTTGTTATTGTTATTACCTGTTATTTTATGTATGATGAATAAATGGTGTTGTGTTAAGCTGCTTCTTACACAACATAACTTGCGCTGTATCAAATCATTGCCATGATATCACTGTAGGAATATCAGATCAAAAAATCTTCCTTATATAGGGGTTATTCTACGTCCATGGGAAATCGATTGAGTGTTATAAATCATGCATGTTTTATATAGGAATCTTGGGTACTAAAGGGACGTGTTAAGACACGGAAGCAAAAAATGTCATGTGATAAAAATGTGCTTATTTACAAAATCAATGCAAGGCACTTCTTTACAAAAATACAATATTTACTAAAATGTTCAAAATTGTGTCCCCTAACTTTAATACGAACTACATCTGTGATTGGTTGGCAACACAAGGGGGGGAAGGCTATAGGGAGTCGGGCAAACCACAAACTGTTGCGCTAACGAAATAATGTTCTTCGCAATTATTGATGGCTGAGATTTCAAGCGCGATAAGTGGTTTTAAGCATGGTGAAGAGACTGACATGTTTATAATGAATGGCGCTTCTAATTGGAATGATAGGTCATACTTACGATTGTCACAGAAATATTTACCGAGCTGGCGTATGCCAAAGCTCATAATGTTCGAGAGATTGCAACGGTCCCTATATGTAAACAGGTCATTTGCCGCCATCTCTGACAAGAGCAGTGTATAAAGGACTGTACTGCATCCTAGTAAGAAAAAATCCATCTTGTTGTGAGTGAAACACTTCACACAAGTGCAAGAATTGTCAGTCGGGATAGCCTGGTCAGTAAGGCGACGGGCCCATGTCCGAGAGTTCGTGGGTTCGAACCCCACCGGCCGAAGACTCCCCGTGTATTAAAGTGACTGATGCACGTTAAATCTGTGGAGTCGCAAAAGTCCTCCATGTTCCCATATTAAATCAAGACCTCTGGGGGTACTGGATTGGAGATCGATCGTTATCCGATTCAGGTCGAAATTACAATCTGTGGTTGAATGAATGGATGTATGAATGGGTAAGCCCTGGTGTGACGTTTGGTGTGGCAGAAGTCGTATTCTTGGCCATAGATGGCGCCACTGAAAAACAAGAAATGCACACTCTGCCTTAAATTTGCTCGGTTTCACCAAACAGGCNGTACTGGATTGGAGATCGATCGTTCTCCGATTCAGGTCAAAATTACGATCTGCGGTTGAATGAATGGATGTATGAATGGGTAAGCCCTGGTGTGACGTTTGGTGTGGCAGAAGTCGTATTCTTGGCCATAGATGGCGCCACTGAAAAACAAGAAACGCACACCAACAGGCTTGCCCGTGTGGCAAGTGGCATTGGAGCCAACCAACCAAGAGTTGTCCTCTTGATCGCAAGCGGAGTTAGAGCTTATTGCGTGTCAACCGCATGTGAGAGAGCCCAACATTTAGAGAGTGTTTAAGAAAATTGCTTGCACCCCTACAATTTGCAGAGAGTCCAAGTCTTGCAAGTGACTGATTGTGTGACTCTTTGTGTTGATTTCTGTCCATTTGTTTCTGCAGCAGTGAGAGGTGCAGACGAATTTTTCATCTGATGTGCTGTTCACAGAATAAAAAATTTTCTCGCAAGAAAGCGTCTTCATTATTTGCAAGAATCATATGTGTTCAAATGAGTCTACATATGCCACACATGCATTCCAAATTCACTTCTCTGTGAATGTGTGAGCGGTTATTTTAAACGAATTCCTCATTAAGTTTTACCTCCTATTGGTACGTTCCGATCTATGTTAGATTTAAAATTAAGATTATCAAACTCACGTTTTCTGTTAGTTATGACACTACAGACTTGTTACTGGAGGCAGTGTTATAGATTTTTTGTCAAATTTTGTTGAGTACTTTCAGAAGTGATGAATCTCATGTTATAACTATGTTCCTAGTTATTTTAGGACATTAGATCACCTGTTATAAGAATTATGCCCTTTAATAATAAAGAGGGGAAAAATCAGATCTTATAGAGCTAGCAGGCAAGCAATGTGAAAATATTCCACTTCAGGCTCATGTGTGTGAAATAAAAGAGCTAGTTATGGGTTGTAAAAATAATGAGATTGAGGATACGAAATTGTCATACACTAAAATTATAGAAGAGAGAATTGGGCGAGAAGGACTTGAACTAGGACTAGGACGGGAATAGTAATAAGAACTTGAGTGACAAGAACGACGAGTGGAAATTGAAGGACACCATACATTAGAATTGGGTAAACTCAAATTCAAATCAAATACTGATATTCATAAGCAAAACAGACTGGTATCAATCAAAATAACTTATAAAATACAAATTTATAAAATAACACCAAAAATAAATTGGTAAAGATGAAATGTAAATGTATCTCATATGGTTTGAGCAATGAGCAGAGATCATTTAACGCGACTTAAAAAA